ATTTTGGAGCTCTGAGGGGGCAGAGCGGGGCTGCTCCTGGCTCCTGGCCTTGGCACTGGGCTGGGGTGTCCCTGGGGCAGGGGCTGGAGAGATGCTGAGCCACCAGGAGCAGCTCCCTGGCTGCACATGGCTGGCAAAACCAACCTCAGGGTTTTAACGAGCAGATTTAATTCAGTGTCCTGCTGTTTTGGGCAGATTTCCATATCGATCCCTGATCTATTTTTGCAGCCGCCGTTGGAGGTGGTTATTTGTGTGTCTGCTACATCACAACTCAGCCCATTTCCTCCTGGCACAGCAGTGTTTGTGCTCGCAGGGGCTCCCTGGGCTTTGCCAGGTGGGAATTTGGTTCCTGGTGTGGCCTTGGCATGGGTCTGGGGTGCTCCAGTGTCACAGACACATTTCATGAAATATCCTTTCTTTAGGATTGTTCCTCCTGAGAAGCTGAGAGGCCTCAGGAACAAAATGTACCCAATGGTTATCTGCTGCTGTGGAATGCAACAGGTGCATCTGGGATTGGGCTCATGTGATTGTTTCTAATTCATGGACAATCACAGCCCAGCTGGCTCAGACTCTGAGACACAAACCTTTGTTATCGTTCCTTCCTTTTTCTATTCTTAGCCAGCCTCCTGATGAAATAATTTCTTCTATTCTTTTAGTACAGTTTTAATGTAGTATATATAATAAAATAATAAATCAGCCTTCTGAACCATGGAGTCAGATCCTCGTCTCTTCCCTCATCCTGGGAGCCCTGTGACGCTGTCACACTCCAGCATCCCTCCAGCCACTCCTCCACTGCAGTGCCTCCTGAATTCCTGCAATAAAGGATAACCCAATCTGTCCCTCACTCCCAGGTGGCCTGGCCCGCTGACACCACAACCTAATGACATTTCTGGGTGGCTGCACTGTCAGTCCCACAGCTCATTACTGGCACTAATTAACTCTGTGCTGCCCCAGTGCCTGCTTTGATCTATAGTCACTAATGCCATTTATCCCCATTCTGACAGGAATTTGCCCCCCCTCAGCTGCAGGAGATGCCTCCAAGGCCCAGTAATGACATTTGAGGGGCTCCTTTTCCATGGTAAAAGTGGAGCCCCCGTGCAGGGCGGTGCTTGGGCAGCACCACTGGAGCCAGCACCAGTCACAGCTCCAGGGTGGGGGTCCCCGGCTGCAGCCTGAATGGTGCCACTGAGCAGCTCCCCATTTGTCCAGTTAATTGCGAAGCAAATTGATCCATGTATCCAATTTAACTTTAAAGGCTTTAATTAATGAGTTCATGCGTGTAAGAGCTGGGAGAGGCCAGGCTGTGGGTGATGCTGAGCCTGGGTTGTGCTGCAGCTTCAGTGCCGTGGGCTCAGGCACTGGGGACGTGCCAGCTGCTCCTGCTGGGGTTCACAGGCACTGTGGGGACCCTGTGATGGCATCTGCCCATCCTGTGGGGACCCTGTGATGGCATTTCCCATCCTGTGGGGACCCTGTGATGGCATCTGCCCATCCTGTGGGTACCCTGTGAGCCAGGCTGTGGCATTTGCCCATCCTGTGGGGACCCTGTCATGGCATTTGCCCATCCTGTGGGTACCCAGTGACCCAGGCTGTGGCATTTGCCCATCCTGGGGGCACTGTGGGGACCCTGTGATCCAGGCTGTGGCATTTCCCATCCTGCAGCTGCTCTGGGGGCAGGATGGGCTGGCAGTGCTGGCTCTGTGTGGTAGCACTGTCTGTGCACGTCTCAGCAGCCGTGCAGTTTCACCCCATTGCCTTCCCCTCCCTCCCTCCCTTCTGCTGCTCTGGGCACTCGTGGCTGTGGATGGTGCCAGGGCTGCAGCCAGCGGGGCCTCAGTGTGTGATAATGCTGCTCTTAATTGAGGACCATCTGCACTCAGTAATTTAATTTTTCCTGCATCTGCAAGGTTCCAACTTTGTTTATCTGATGTCCTGACGATTATTTAACTTCAGAGCATCGTGTTTGTCCACCCTGGGCGCTGCAGGCATTCCACTGCTGCCCCTGCTAGACGAGCTTTCAATAACCTTTGCACTGCCCCAGGAAAAAGGACACAAAAACTGAGATTGGGAAGGGCGAGAGCAGAGCTGAGGCGCAGGGCTGGTTTTGCTGCCCGAATTGTGGCAGGAGGCTGCGCTGCTGGGAGCGTTTCCTCTGCTCTGACAAGCAGGGAGACGAGCAGGAGCCCTGAGCAGCACAGCCCCTCCCTCAGCAGCAGGGCTGGCAGCACATTTCACATCTCAGTGCCTTGACACACCACATCTTTTGTCTTTGGATGCTTATTAGGAGCTCAGCCCCCAGCTGTGCCTTGGAAGGGCTGACAGGAGGGAATTGAGGCATCTCCTTAAAAAAAAAAAAAAAAAAGAAAAAATAATTGGAAGCTGGAAAGTCACTTAGCTGTGGTGTGGGGGGGACCTGGGCATCTGGTTCATCTGAACATCTTGGACACTTCCAGATAGGGCACAGCCACAACTTCCTTGGGATGCAGGCAGGGATGCCAGCACCAGTGGTGCTCTGGCTGTGTCTCCTGCCTGCAGGAGCACTCCTGCAGCTTCTCACCCTGGATCCCTGCTCTCTTCCACACCCAATCCTCAGAAAATCAATTTTTTCCCCAGGCTGGTCCAGCAGCACCTGGATCCCTGCGCAGACTTGAATTAGGTCTAAGCATTCACCTCCCTAAAATATAGGTCAGCCATAATTAGTGTGACTGCTGCTGGCTCCGTGTTAATTAACTCCTGAAGTGGAGGTCAGTGCATGTGAGGCACCTCTGCAGCTTCAGCCTTTTTGGCTGCTCCCCAGGTGCTTCAGGGTGGCTTTGGCCTGGCTGATCCACGCTCAGGGCTGGGCCATGGGGTCTGTCCCTGGCACCCGTGGTGTCCTGCCAGCCCTGGAGCACGGCCACGCTGGGCACTTGGCCACGTCCCTGGGCACAGCCACACTCTGCTCTGAGCTGGAGGTGCTCACTGTGTGCCCATGGGCCAGGGCACCTTTTGGTGCTGGGTTCAACGTGGCACTCGTTGTGTCCTTGTCCCTTGTCACCATCCATCACAACAAGTGTCCTCCTCCCCTCGTGCCAAGAGCTGGGGCCAGTGGTGAAACACAGAGCCTTTGCTTCCTCTGCAGTCCTTGGCACAATCCCTGGCATGATCCCTGGCAGGTGCTATTGGCAGCTGGCTGCCAGCAGCTGGGAGTGGTGTTTGGAATGGCTCTGTGCTGGTGCAGGGCCTGTGGGATGAGCCTGTGGGATGGGATGAGCCTGTGGGATGGGATGAGCCTGTAGGATGGGATGAGCCTGTGGGATGAACCTGCAGGTCCAGCACCTGCACAGAGGAGCATGTAGGGTTTTGGAGAGCAAGGTGAGCTCAGACAGTGGATCTCCTACAGACCATAAACCTGGCCTGTCTCACCTCTGGCTCAGGTCAGGACAGGGCTGTTCCCCAGCCTCTGGGATGAGGTGGAGGTGGAGGTGCAGCTCAGCACTGTTTGCTGAGGCTGTGGTTCTGCCCTGGGGATGGCTCTGTCCCTCCTCACCTGGGAGCCCTGGGCAGAGGCCAGGGAGCACTCTGTAGCAGTGGGAATGCTGGGTTTTAGGCACTTCAGGCCTTCAGGAGCCCTGGTGTCACGTTCTGGGAGAGGCTCAGCTCCACATGTGGGGAGCCCTAAAGCCCCGGCCGGCTCCCCGAGCCCTGGCTTTTCCCTGAGTGCCTCCCTGCTCCCCCACCCCAGTCCCTGGTGCCTATTTTTACAGCTCCTGGGCTGTGAATCACTTCTCTCCCCCGTCTCAGTCGCTGCCTTTGAAGGTATTTATAACCCTGGGCCGTCTCCCTGCGCTGCCTGAGCAGAGGAGGATTCAGCGCTCCGGCTCCCTCCTGCCCTCTCCTCCTCACCACATCCTCGTGTAGATGTGCAGGAGATGAGATGCTCCCTCTGTCCTCCTTAAAACTATCAATGAAGAGCCTCACCAGCACCTGAAGGGGTGTGGGATGTGCAGGGATAGGTCTTGGCATGGATCCCTGGGGGTTTGGTGTCCAGTGCCAGGGTGTGTGTGAGCCAGCAGAGCCCAGCTGGGGTCACAGCAGCCTTGGCCATGCCATGCTGTGTGACACAGGAGATGGGAGCATCCCAAACCAGCTCCAGAGCAATGGGAGGAAATGGGGTTTAAATGATCAGCAGAGCAGCCACCAGCTGCCTCGTCCCACTGGTGTGCTGTTCCCTGGCCGTGATTCCAGCACGTCCCACTGATTACTGTGCTAATTTCTATGGATCTGGCAAGCAAATTAATCTCTTCTCTGCTCCTTCCCCTGGGACCCCTGCTCTGTAGGCTTGCATTCCTTCAATGTTTGGAGAGGCTGGTGCGGATTGCTGGGATGACAGCTGCTCTGGGACATGGTCAGGATCCATCTCCTGCCCTCCCTGTTTGGCACAGCCACCCTGAGGGGCTCCCACACAGCTCCCAGCTCTGCCAGGGTATCCTTCCACACAAAATATCCCATTGGCTTTGGGGAAAACCCACTGTGGAGGGACACTTCCCCCTCTCCTCCTCGGTTCCACCTTTTCTAAAACCAAGCAAAACAGGGGGGGAAAACATACTAAGAGAGAAACCAGGAGAAGAACAGGTCCAAGAGGCAAGAGCAGGAATTATTTTAATTTGCTGGCTGCATGTGAAGTGGTTATCTCTGTCTTTTGAAGGTATTAAGGTGGGATGTTGGTGCTCATTAATTTATGGCCACAGGTCTCCAGCCTGAGCTGGGTGTGGCATTGCCAGGGTTTAGGTACCCAAATAGATGCAACTTATGCTGATACAGGGAGAGATCCTCTGGCTGGGCCATGGTGAAAATGGCTCTGCAGGTGCTGGGACCAATGGATGGGAGTTGGAGAAGCAGGAGAGGGGATCAGCCCGAGGGTCTTGGGGGGAACACTGGCTGGGATGGGGGCTGGCTGTGTCTCCCTTGGCATCGTGCAGCTGCACTCACCCCTCACCATCCTTTCCATTCTCTTTCAGAACAAGGTGCTGACGGTGGATGGGGTGAAGGTGAAGCTGCAGGTATGTCCCCATGTCCCTGGAAGCATCTCCCTTGCTGCCCTGGGTGTTCAGAGATGGCCAAAGCCCCTCTGAGGACAAAGCAGAGGAGCACCCCCAAAATGGGGCCCCACCTCTATCCTTTGTGCTCGTGTCTCCTGCCCTGGATCAGCCTTACAGACCCTTCTGGCTGCTCTGTCCCCTTGGCAGGAGCCTGCACAGGGCTGGGGGCTGTTCTGGCCACAGTGATCCCCATCCCAACCCTGCAGCCAGAGCTGCTCCAGCCCCCTCAGGCCTGACAGTTCCTCCGAGCCCTTTGCCTGCAGCTCGGTAACACAGATCCCCCAGGCAGCAGCAGCACTCTGCAAACCTCCTGCTGCATTAAGGACTGATAAATCACATTAGCAGGTCCCCATGCATCCATCTGCTCCATGGATTTAACAATTAATGGCCGTGTTGGGAGCCCTTGGCCACGTTGTGTCCCCACACCGAGGAGTGGGAAGGCGCTGCCTCCGTATTTATCGCTCAGGTCATTTTTCCTATTGATGTCCCTGGGAGCAAAACCTGGAGAAGCTTCCTGGGGTTGCACCATTCTGTCTGGGCTGGTTTGGGTGGGTTCTGCTCAGGTCTGATCCCTCTGCTCCTGTCTGCCTTCCAGATCTGGGACACGGCCGGGCAGGAGCGCTTCCGCAGCGTCACCCACGCCTACTACCGGGATGCCCACGGTAAGCAGGGCCCCCTCTGCTCCTGGGACCCAGCTCTGGGTAAGCAGGGCCCCCTCTGCTCCTGGGACCCAGCTCTGGGTAAGCAGGGCCACCTCTGCTCCTGGGATCCAGCTCTGGGTAAGCAGGGCCACCTCTGCTCCTGGGATCCAGCTCTGGGTAAGCAGGGCCACCTCTGCTCCTGGGGAGCTCCTGGGATCCAGCTCTGGGTAAGCAGGGCCCCCTCTGCTCCTGGGATCCAGCTCTGGGTAAGCAGGGCCACCTCTGCTCCTGGGATCCAGCTCTGGGTAAGCAGGGCCACCTCTGCTCCTGGGGAGCTCCTGGGATCCAGCTCTGGGTAAGCAGGGCCCCCTCTGCTCCTGGGATCCAGCTCTGGGTAAGCAGGGCCACCTCTGCTCCTGGCATCCAGCTCTGGGTAAGCAGGGCCACCTCTGCTCCTGGGGAGCTCCTGGGGAGCCTCTGCTCCTGCTCTGGGTAAGCACGGCCACCTCTGCTCCTGGGGAGCCCCTGCTCCAGCTCTGGAGACCCTGAGCTGCCACTGCAGGCCAGGTGAGCCAGAAATCACTGGAGTGTTTTCCATGGGAAGCAGCTGCCGTGGATGGAGGGGGCTCTGCTGTCACAGACACATTTTATGAAAAATCCTTTCCTTAGGATTTTTTTCTCCTGAGAAGCCGAGAGGCTTCAGAAACAAAATGTAAACAATGATTATCTGCTGCTGTGGAATGCAACAGGAGGATCTGTGATTGGTCTCATGTGGTTGTTTTTAATTGATGGCCAATCACAGTCCGGCTGTCTCAGACTCTCTGGTCAGTCACTAGATTTTATTATCATTCCTTTTCCTTTTCTTGCAAGCTTTCTGATGAAATCCTTTCTTCTATTCTTTTAGTGTAGTTTTAATATCATATATATCATAAAATAATAAATCAGCCTTCTGCAACATGGAGTCAGATTCTCATCTCTTCCCTCATCCTGGGGCCCCTGTGAACACCAGCACACTGCAAACACCAGCAGTGTGAGGTGTTGTGTGCTGGATTTCAGTGTGTTCTGTGTCTCCCAGGGGCCTCATGGCCACAGGGGCTGTGTGCTCGGTCTGGCACAGGCACTAACGGGCTGTCCCTCTCTCCACAGCCCTGCTCCTGCTCTACGATGTCACCAATAAAGCCTCCTTTGACAACATCCAGGTACAGCAGCAGCCTGGGCCCTCCTGCTGTCCCCCACGTGTCACTGCCTGGGTTGTGGTTGGTTGTGGGTTTGGTCAGGAGCTGTGTGCTGCTGGTGGGAGCTGTGGTCACTTGCAGAAGGGCTCTGGTTACTGCTGAGCACCTGCAAGGGCAGGCAGGGGACAGGCAGGGAAGGTGTTCCCTTTCTCAGCACATAAAGGGTGATGGATTCACTGCTCCAGCGCTGGAGACAGCAGGCAGCTCACACCATGGGGCCAGGGATTCCAGGGAATTAGAGCAGGTTTGATTGGATTAGGCTGGATTAGAGGGCAGGGAAGCCACCCCACGGCTCAGGGAGGCAGGTTCAGGTGCCTGCTGGGAGCAGTGTGCTCAGCACAGGGGCAGCACGTGCAGGACATGGGCACGGGGCACATCCCAGGGGCTGATGTTACCCTGGGAAATGGGGATCTGCTAGCAGCCAAGGTGGGGTGCTGGGCTTGCTTAGCCAAGTGGGTCCCCCAGGGCTTGGGGGAACCCCAGGTACCCCCTTGTTGACAGGGATCATCCTTGGAACATCCCTGGCATAGCCTGGAATGGCAGCATTGCCTACTGAGGGTGTCCATGGCAGGATTGGGGCAGCTCCCCATCACTCCCATTCCCCTGCTCCTCCTGGAGCCATTGCCAACCCCTCTCTTTGGCTGTGTCCCTCCAGGCTTGGCTGACAGAGATCCATGAATATGCACAGCAGGATGTGGTCCTCATGTTACTGGGAAACAAGGTGAGCCTGGCCCCAGGGCTTTGCCAGAGCCTCCTGTTCCTCCCACGCTGGAGGCACGGGCAGGGGAGCCTGGCAGGGCATGAGGGGACAGGGAGGGTTATGCTGGTGACCTTCCAAATCACCACAAACTGCTCTTTGCCATTCCTGGTGCAGGTGGATTCAGCCCAGGACAGAGTGGTGAAAAGGGAAGATGGAGAGAAGCTTGCCAAGGTAGGTGAGGTACCTGAGGATGTCCCTGAGGATGTGCCCAGGAAATGGTCACCTGGAGACCAGTGACCCAAAATACGCCTGGGAACACTTGGCTTTTTTCCCTTGTCGTGCTCTCCCCTTTCTTCTCATCTGTTCTTCCTTTAAGTTTCTACTAACAACTCTTGATTCTTTGTCCTCAAAAATTACTCCCTGAGAGGCCTGGGAACACCCTGGTGGCACTCCTGACAGGGCTGTGTCTCATCCCACAGGAGTATGGGGTGCCCTTCATGGAGACCAGCGCCAAGAGCGGCCTCAACGTGGAATTAGCGTTCACAGCCATCGCCAAGTAAGTGAGCAGAGCAGTGGCCTTGTCCTCCAAAGGAGCTTTAGCAGTGTCCAAGCCACGCTGAGATCAACTGAGCTGCGCAAGGCGGCTTGGAATCATAGAATCCTGGGATGGCTTGGGTTGGAAGGGACCTTAAAGCCCATTCAGTTCCATCCCCTGCCATGGCAGGGACATCCTCCACCATCCCAGGTTGCTCCAAGCCCTGTCAAGTCCTCACAGGGAAAAATTCCTTCCGAACATCTCATCTATCCCCACCCTGCCAGGAAAAAGCCATTCCCTGTGTCCTCTCACTCCACACCCTTGCCCAAACTCCCTCCCTGGCTCCTTCCAGACAAAATCCTCTCCCTGCCAGAAGCAGCAGTGTAAGAGTAACATCCTTCCCCTTTCCCAGGGAGCTGAAGCACAGGTCCATGAAGCTGCCCAACGAGCCCAAATTCAAGCTGCACGACTACGTGAAGAAGGAAGTGCGAGGCTCGGGCTGCTGCAGGTCCTAACGTGTGTTTGTACAGAGACTCAGGCCCGTGGGCAGTGTGTGCATGTCCGTCTGTCGTGTCTGTGTCTGCCCCCAAGGCCAGCTGAGAGCAGGGCACAGAGCAGCAGGAAAAGCTCTCTGGGATTCTGCAGCCCCCTCGCATCCCTCGGCTCCGGCTCCCCTGGCCAGCATCCCTGCCCTGCTCACAGGTGGGAGGAAGGTGTTGGGGAAGGGGCTGGGCTCTCCCTCTGTGCCTGCTCTGTGAGGCTGCTGTAACCTTGGAGAGAGCCAGGCTGTGATGTAAGGGAACCAACACCTTCTCCCCACCTAGGAGGAAAAAAGTCTTGATTTTTTTCTGGGTAGGAGAACGTCCTGAATTCCCTTTTCTTTGCCTGTGTACCTGGAATTCAGCTGAGAGCCCTGGCCGGGGGCGTGCAGGAAGGATGTGTTTGAAGGCAGCCATTCTTGTAGGTGCTTTCTCCTGTCTGTCCATCCCTGTGAGGTGGGACACAGTTCCACAGTGAGGGATTCTCCTGTTCCCTGCAAAGGCAGAGCTTGGCTGTCCGAGTGAGCTCCTGCACACCTGGCTGTGTACAGAGATTTCTGAACGTTCATCCCTCTGGGAAAGGCTCTGCTTCTCCTCCTTCTGCCCTTTCTGGTACTTTGAGAAGAATCCTAATGTATTGCAGCTTATTCTAAATACCTTCCTGTAAGTGTGATGGTGTTTTCAGACTGCAACAACGCTTTGATATCTTCAAAGTTCTCTTGGGCAGCTCTCTCTTTTCACCGCAGAGAGCTGGGGGGAAGCTGCAGGCAGTGATTTTACAGGCTGCAGACTCCTGCCAGCTCTCTTCAAGGGCCTCCTCACCCCTTTGGTCTGTGTCAGGCTTTTGGCTGTTTTTTTGTCAAGCTGCACTTCTCAGTACAAACTTGAATCTGGATGAAGTGTTTGGCCTTTGGCAATTTTTCCCTTTGAAAACTCCACGCACACATCAGCAGGTGCCCGCTGCGCCGAGCCTCTGGTGGCTCCTCCAAATGGAACAGAATAAATCACCCATATCCTCTGCCCTCCAGCCAGCACCAGCCCCCCCAGCTGCTGACTCAGATACCCCTGCCCCTCATTTTTCCTGGGATTTTGGCTCCAGCACTGCTTTCCTGAGGGGCACAAGGAGCCTCTGCAGCTCCCACGTGCTCCAAGCTCCACTCCTCAGGGAGCTACAGCAACACGAGCAGCTGCAGCTTCACAGGGTGAAAAGGGATCTTAAAATGAACCAGCTTTTTTTCCCTAAATAGTATTTTAGGGGAGAGACAATCCTTAAAATTGTCTGATTTAAATTTTAAAATCACCTGTGGAAAACCCATTTGTGCAGGAACATTTGCACTCCTGGCAAACCCTGCTGTCAGTCCTGCAGGAGCAGCCAGGTGAGCTCTGTCATGGGGGGCTGTCAGGGCCCCCTCTCCCCAGTAATTTGGTTTTGTGTGGGGCAGGACCAGCCTGGCAGCTCCATGGCTGTTTCCTGATCCTGCCTTTGGAACAGCAGCAGCCCCATCCCGAGGTGTCAAGGAGCCTCCCTAAAGGCAAAACTTAGGATTCCTAAAGGATTAAGATTCCCAATGTCAGGTTGCTGCCATCCCTCTCCCTCAGACTGGCATCTGTCTGGGTTACAGCTGCTCACTTCTTGCCCAATGTGGGTCTAAAACCGACAAAAACCCCTTTAAACGAGGAAGATGTAACTGTTTCCCTTTGGAGCACTTCCACCCTGCCTGTGGGGAACAGACCCTGCTACAGCAGAGGCCGCACAGCCCTGTTGGTGGTTCAGACCTGAACCTCGAGCAGGCTCAGCCCCTCTCCCAGTGTGGGACCGGTTTCCCAGTGCCTGCACACTGGGCTGGCCCCAAGCTCCTCCTCACGGCCGTTTGGGATTTTCCACGGGCCTTTGCTGCCACCACGCGGAACTGCTCAGCGCAGCGTTAATTATTCCCGTTAATTGCTCAGAGCACCCAGCCACGTGCGAGGGCTCGGCCTCACCCGCAACATCCCATTTCTGCTGGCTCTTGTTTACAGCTTTCGGTTCATTCCTGTTAATAAATTTTTTTAATAATCTCCATGGCTACAGCGGTGTTTTGATTGCCTAAACACACAGCGCTGTTAAGTCGTTCAAATATTTCAGTTCAGCCTTGAAACCATCTGGATCCACACGGCAGAACCAGCGTACGATAGTTTAAACTGGATATTGGGTACCCACACAACATTTCCAGTCGGTCTGTAAAGGTACAAGTCTTCCATGGAAACTGTGATAAACAGAAGCAAAACTCGAGACTTTTTAAAACTTTATTCACCTGTAAGCTACAAAAATTTATATAGAAGTTTAAGTAGAAATACGACAGTAAAACATTCACAATTAAAGCTGGTCTTGAGTGCGAAAACCTTACAGGAGTAGCTTGTTATCTTCTATAGAGCTAAACAGAAAGAAGATTTCAATTCTCAATCTACATACTGCAGCACTAGAGTTAAGAATGCAAATCCTTGCACTTACTCACAGTACTGCACCCACCACCCTGCCAGGATATTCACCTTAAACTAACCCATGAGGGAGTAAAAGTCGGTGAATTCTTTCCTCCAGCCCATTCCGCAGCTGCTTCTTTGTGCTTCAAGATCCGCCTCGTTGCGGAGCAGGAGCATTTCCCGGGGCTCAGCCTCACTTACCGCAAACACCGGAGCAGGGAACACCGCCTTTTACCGGCCCACAGCGCCGGGGACCGCCGCGGATCGGGCACGGAGGCTCGGGACGCCGGCACCGCCGAGCCGCAGGCCGCGGCCGCTTCCGCCGAGCCTGAGGGGAGAAGGCAGCGCGTGAGGGGAGGAGCGCGCCCGCCCGCCCGGCCTGGCCGCGGGCACCGCGGGCCTCAGCCGTGGCTGCTCAGCAGGGGCTGCGGCCGCCCGCCGCCCTCAGACGAGGTGTCAGAAAGGTAAATGTGGATCATCAGCGGCCCGCCCTCGATAATAGCCCCGTGACCGGCCCCGCTCCCTCCTCCCCGCCCCGCACATCATGTCCCGTCCCGCACCTCTGGCTGGAAAGAACGCACGTGTACTCCACTACGTCTTTTATGGCCACTGCGATGCAGCTATTGGTCAGGCTGCTGTGGGTATAGCCAATCACCAGCGGTTGGCGTGACCACCGCCCCGCCTCTCCCAGCGCTGATTGGTCGCCGTTTTCCTCCCTGCCAATGGCGACGCGCAGCGCAGCGTGGCCCGAGGCGGCAGTTCCCGCCTTCTGATTGGTCACTGCTGGAGGCCGGGCAGAACCAATAGTAACAGCGGTTGTAGCACGGAGGGACTGTCTGTGGGGGCTGCTGGGAGTCGTAGTCCAGGCGGCTCGGCGGCGCGGGCAGGACGCGGCGCACGGGACTACAAGTCCCGAGGAGCGCTGGGCGCTGCTCTTCCGGGCCGGGCGGCGGGGGGCAGCAGGCCCGGGCGCGATGTGCCGGGACCGGGCACCGGCGCTGCGGCCGCCGCCGCCGCTGGGAGGTACGGGCGGGCCGGGGGGAGCCGGGCGGGCCGCGCCGGGCGGCTCCGGCAGGGGAGGGGCCGGGCCGGGCCGGGGGCGCCGGGCCTCGGGCCGGGGAGGTGCCGGCGGAGGCGCCCCGTGCCCACCGGCCGCTGTGTGTGGGGTGCCAGCGGCTCTGCTGCGGCGCTCCGGGCAGCCCGAGCATCATCTGCGCTGCTCCGTCCCGGTGAATCCCGCCAGGCCTCGCTCGCCGCCCCCGCTGCCCTCCCGGGGTGTTCGCTGGCTCCCATCGCAGTCTGCGCTTAGCTTTGGCTTTTTCTGCTCAGTTTTGGCGTTTTGTGCCCCGTTCCCTGTCCGAGCAGCACGTGTTGCTGCTGGCACTTTCCTGCCCTCGCAGTAAGCTCCTTTCCCTGGGGTTTGGGCTCACAATACAGAAAATGTGGGCTGTCTGCGGGTCGGTCTCTGTGGCTGCCGCAGAACATGTGCAGGTCCGGATTGTGAATTGTGGATTGTGCCCTTCTCTTCTCGTTCCGCACGAGCTCTCGGGCTCTGTCCGTGTGTCCCGCTGGCAGAGGCTGCCAGGCTGTGGGATCGCTGAGCTGTGAGCTGGGAAGGGCAGCAGGGAGGATTCCCTTGGTTCCACATCTCTTTGGGCTCTGCTGGGCTCAGACACAGCCACAGGAGCGGGTTCGGGTGTCCATAACGCCAGGTCCAGGCTGGTGTCCCTGCCAGGGTGTAGCTGTGATAAGAACTGTGACCCAGCAGTTGTTTCTTCCACTCTGGCACCGTTCTGTGCCTTTGTTTCAGTCCCAGCTGTGTGATTTTTGCCTCCCGGGGTGTTTTCTCCCCAGCGATGTGTTTCCAGGCTGCACTGAGCAGTCGTGTTCCTCTTAAACAGCTGCAGCATTTTGGCCTCCAGGGTTTGGCTGCTTCCCACTTCCAGCCCCAGTGAGGATGGTGGGGCTTTCAGGAGAGGGTTTGGGGGTGAAGGATGGTTCCAGAAAGCCCTTGATGAGTGGAAGCAGGGCGAGATCACGGAATCCCAGAATTGTTTAGGTTGGAAAAAACCTCCAAGACCACTGAGTCCACCCTGTGCCTGATCCCAGCCCAGAGCCCTGAGTGCCACATCCAGGTGTTCCTTGGACACCTCCAGGGATGGGGACCCCAAACCTCCCTGGGCAGCCCCTTCCAATTCCTGACAACCCCTTCCGTGAAGAAATCCCTCCTGATGTCCAGCCTGCACCTCCCTGGCCAGGGAAATCCTAAAATCATGCAGGAAGCTGCAGGAGCAGGTCCTGTCTGCAGTGTGTTGGATCCCCTCCAGGCCCTGGGGTCCCTGTCTGGAGCAGGGGAGGGACAGGCTGAAGCCACCCAGAAGCTCCATTGCTGGGTTTGGTTTGTGTGCAGGTGACACTGCCTGAGGGAGGGAATGTTTTACCCTGTGGAAATGGGAAACCTGAGCCTCAGTGGTGTTTCCAGTCAGGGGATGCTGTACCTTCCCTGCTAGCACTCAGACAGGGGATTTCATGTTCATTGGGCTCAAGGAAGGATAAAAACCCCAGTCCATGGTGTTGGGGTGGTTTGGTTCCCTGCCCTGGGGGATCCCAGGGTGAGCCCTCCTGTGCAGCCTAGAGCCATGTGTGCACACCTCATGGAGGTTTGTGTCCCTGCCTGAAGCCAGCCCTTCCCTTAACAATCCTGGGGCTCCACAGTGCTGAGGTGCTGCTGGAGCATCAGGGAGCCCTGCAGGCTCTGGGTGTTCCCAGGGACCTCCCAGGCCCTGCTGGCCCTGGGTGTGGGATTTCCTGGAGTGTGACTGTACCTTTCTCACAGGCTATCCCAGCCAGACCAGGTGTGCCAGGAGGGGGGTACTGGGGAGAAAATCCTTCCTGGGTTCCATACTGGGATTACGTGGCCGTGTTCAGTCTGTTGGAACTCTCCCCTCCCAGTTTTTATTCCCTTTGCCATGGGCATGGTGAGGCACACACCAGCACGTCCCTCTGCCCATCAGGGGGTGTAGGGACAGCTGGGACCAGGAGGGAGGCAGCTGCCTGCTCAGAGGGGTGCCTGTCACCCCTCTCTGAGCTCACCCCAGGAGCCTTTGGCAGCAGCACCCCAAATTACCCATTCAGGCTGCTCCTGCTCTGTCTTGAGCGCAGCCTTGGAGCTTCAGAGCCACCTCTGAACGAGGTGTCCTGGGGCTGGAGGGGGCAGTGCCTGCTCCTGGGACAGCCTCAGCTCTGGAGAGCTGTCCTGGCAGTGGAAGTTCCCACCAGCACCAGTGTCTGTGTTTTGGGCAAGTCCTGTTCCCCAGCTCTGCCTTTTTGTGGCTGTTCCTGGGTACCCGGGTTTCCCTGGATTGTCTCTCCAGGCAGAGAGCGTGTTGCTGTTGTTATACAGAATTCTGAATAGTTTGGGAACTATAAAAGAGGGTGAGAAACTCCCAACTCCCCTTAAAGCAAGCGAAGAACTTTTCTGTCTCCGATCAGGGGAACAAATCCTTGTGCTGGGACAGGGTTGTTTTTCCTGCACTAGACTGAACCCGGAGCAGCCGGGGCAAAGCTGGGAGGCAGCTGGAGATTGGCTGAGCTGTGGGATTTTCCAGCTGGATTTACATATCGCCCACTGCTCCGCATGCCTTTGTGTTTACATCACTGGGGAGCGATCCACACTCGCACGCTGCAGCGGAAGAGGCACTTGGGCCGAGGAGAAGCCTGTCCCCAGCCCAGAGCTGGGCATGCTGGTGGCATCTCTTTGGCTGAGGAGAAGGCTGTCCCCAGCTCAGGAACTGGGCATGCTGGTGGCATCTTGCCGGGCTCTGCTGCTCCAGGATGGCCAGGGGTGAGTGTGCTCCAAGGAGAAGTGCTTGCTCCAAGGAGAAGTGCTTGCTCCAAGAAGTGCTTGCTCCGGGTGCCGGGTGTCAGGCAGCATTCCCGCGAAGCTGCTCCCCTGCAGCAGTGAGGGAGGAACTGTTTCCATCCCTCCAGGAGGCACCTGGAGCCCTGCAGCAGTTTGGGAGTGAGGGAGGAACTGTTTCCATCCCTCCAGGAGGCACCTGGAGCCCTGCAGCAGTTTGGGAGTGAGGGAGGAACTGTTTCCATCCCTCCAGGAGGCACCTGGAGCCCTGCAGCACTTGGGCAGGGGTACCTGTGGTCCATCCAGCAGCTGCAGCTGTGTTGGGCTGGTTTTATGGTCCTTCAGAGTGACCTTGGCAAAGGTGTGGAGTGCTTGATTGCAGCAGCCCAGCAAGTGTGTCCTGAGGCTGGTCTGGTGTTCCAGAAGTGGGAAATCCTGGCTGTTCCTTGGGCAGAGCTGTGAGCACAGAAGCCACGCTGGAGGAGAGGCCGTGTCCCCTGGAATTCTGAGTCACCCTGGGGCAGAGTTTAATCCGTGGTGTTTGGGGTTGTGGGACACTGAGTGGTGCCTCTGTCTCAAAGCTGTCAGTAGATTTGCCATGGTGGAAGTGTCCACGTCCCCTGGTTTCTTTTGGAATCAAGGATTTGGTGCTGTTTCTCCCAGGATCACTGATCTGATCAATGAGTGTTGGTGTCCAAGGTGCCTCCTGCTTGCTCTCAATGGCAGAACCCAAGGGAGCTGTACAGAAAAAGAGCAGGTGACTGGAATTTGCTGGATTTTTTTGGTTTTTTTCCTGAAGGAGGTGATGCATTTCAGCTGGATCTCTGAAGTGTTCTAGTCTCATCCAGAGGGCAGAGAAGAGTGTGTGTCACGAGGTGCCAAAGCTTTGGAGGATGTTGGGGGAACAGGGGGTGGATGTGCTACTTTGTGCTTTTTGAGTCATGGCTATGGGCTCAGGTTTGCTGTGACTTTAATCTGGAAGAATCCCATCGTGTGGTGGGGTGGTTCCAGCTTTCCAGAGGGTGCAGTGCCGCCAACCAGAAGGCAAAGCAGCTGGAAAAGGCCTCAGCCATGGCACAGGAATCGGGGAATAAAGGAGAGAGGAGCTTTGATTGCTTTGGGTCTAGCAGAACCCCAGGAGAGCAGAGTCCAGGTGACACAAACATTGCTCTGCTTCCTTGGAAGAGCAGAGGCCAAGTTTCTCCATGCCCCAGTCTTTGCTGCTGCCCTGCCGTGTGTTCAGGGGTTTTCAGTTGAGCTGCAAGCCCCTCTCTCTGTCACATTTGCAGCAGGGACACCAAGAGCAGAGCTGAGCCAGCCCACAGTACCCTGCAGGGTCCTGGCAGCCTCTTGTTCTCTGTCACACAGGGCTGAGGAGCACCAGGAGCACTGCTGAGGTGGGAGTGCTGAGGGTGACTGCTCTCAGCTCTCCAGTGTGGTGCCTTCCATCAGGGTCTGGCCGTTCCCTCCCAAGGAACTGCAGCAGCACTGAAATTTTTGCCTTGGAGGGGGAGGGTGTTGTTGGTTTCAGGGCTAGGCTGGGGTTTTATTCTTTTTCCTTCACCAAATCCATAATTTAGCAATGTGATGCTCTCAGAAGGGGTCTGTTCTTTGAGGGAGGATGTGGAAGGGCACAAGCTGTGAGAGGCACAGCACGCAGCTGTGCAGTGGCAGGGCCAACTTTTAAAGCACCTTTTGATTAAGGTCCTTGTGTGGCAGAGCTGTGGATGTGCCTGTTCCTGCCCAGCAGTGCCTGAGGAGCTGCTGAGCCCACACAGGACAATTTCGGTTGCAGGGTCAGAGCTGGGCTGCATAACAAAAATGGTGTTGTAGGTGGATCCTCCCAGGTTACCTGAAATGGAAATAAAACTTCAAATGTAGCTTTTGTGTCATGGAACAGCACTGAATATTGGCCTCTATTCTAACTTCTAATTTAATGTTATTTTTCTGGGAAAATTGAGGTGCTTCATTTCACCAGAGCAATAACTTTTGATCCAGCTGTGGGGACATTTGAAAGCTACAGCTTCAGGTTTTACCATGAAGTATTGCAAATATTCTTCTATCCCAAGGCTTCATTATCCTTTAGGAAAAGCACCCTATGAAATGCTTTTCCTTTCTGAACTCCATTTGTTCAAAGGCATGGCAGTGTTCAAACAGCTGTTGAATGTGCTCTCTCAGTCCTGCAGTCAGTGCAAGCACTGGTAAAAGTAGCAGCAATTAAAAATATCCCTTTTATTTTTATTGATGACGGCTCAGTACAATTATGGTCTCACTGTAAGACACTCAGAAGAGCTGGTGTGACTTATAAGAAAAACTCACAAACAGTAAAAAGACTGTTCCACAGATTCATCAGGTGGAGGTGCCACATCCTGTCAGTAAGGCTGAGCTTCTGTTCATGTTTTATGTCCTTCCTGCACTGACTGACATCTGAAGAGTGTAAGAAATGTCCTGCTGGGTCAGGTGCTTTAGATTTCAGCTCATCTGCAACCTCTTTGTCTCCTTAGTTTTATGGGGTTTTTCATAAACTCCTTAGCACCAGCTGGTACTGACTGCTGGGCACAGCTGAGTGTCACCTGCAGCCCTGGTGGTTTCACTGCTGCCTTTTATTGCCCATCCTCACCTGGGGCTGGGCCAGGCTGGCTCAGCTGTGCTGCTGGGAGCCCTGGCCAGGTGTTCTGGGCTGCCTGAGGAGTGACCAGGGGGCTCCACTGCCTGCCTCTGCTCTGGTGTTCCCTGACAGGTGTCCATGGATGGAGAGGTGTCCATGGATGGAGAGGTGACCCCTGAGTGGTGTCCATGGAGTGGTGTCCATGGAGTGGTGTCCATGGATGGAGAGGTGTCCATGGATGGAGAGGTGTCCCCTGAGAGGTGTCCATGCATGGAGAGCTGCCCCTGAGTGGTGTCCCCTGAGTGGTCCCCAGAGAGGTGTCCATGGATGGAGAGGTGTCCATGGATGGAGAGGTGTCCCCTGAGAGGTGTCCATGGATGGAGAGGTGTCCCCTGAGAGGTGTCCATGCATGGAAAGGTGTCCCCTGAGAGGTGTCCCCAGAGAGGTGCCTGTCTCAGACCTGCTGTATCTCTGCCTGCTCACACCCTGTGCTGTACAGGTCAGACCAGATGCTGACAGCCCTGGTCACCCTGATGAGCTGCACCTGAGGTGCTGCTGGTCACAGAGTGGTTAATTACCCCAGAGTAGTTAATTACCCCACAATCACCCTGTGCCCTTGGCACCTGCGAGTGCTTTTGTGGGAGTATTTCCCTGGGATGTGCCAACGCTCTCAGGGATGTGTAACCCTTGTGTTGTGAGTGCAGTGTTTGTTGTAAGAGGAACAGGTCTTACACCATAAATACCCGAGCAGTGAGATAAGGAAGTTCAGCCAGCCAGGGCAGGATAACCCGTGCCTGTCTCTCCCACTGCCAGCCACTCCTGCTCTGGGACAATTTGCCAGCCCAGCAGTTTCCTTGGGGTGAGTAACCTCAGAGAGAGGGAATTAGCCAGGCCCTGGGTGCTGATTCTCCTGCCAGCTCTGAGGTGCAGTCACAGGTTGATGTGTGGCCGATCCTGTTGGGTCTCCCCTCAGCAATGGGAGAAGGAGCACTGCTTCCCTCTGCAGCTGCTGCTGCTTGGGTTTCCCTTGCCTGAATTACTCAAGTAGGACTTTAAGGCTTTTCTTCTCATTGAGTCTCAAAAGCCTGGAGTTGATCCCTGTGATGTGCAAATGCTGAAACCTATCGCTGCCCCCCTCACATCTGGTTGTGATCAGCTGTGGGATTTACTGAATATTGCGTCCCCACAGCTTCCTTTTGCCGGGGGAGATTCCCCCCCCCTTTGTTTACTGTAAAAAGCACTGATGTTGCATGTTAAAAGAATTAAGTCCAGGCAAGGAGAATGTGCATCACAGGCTGGGTTCCCAGCAGCAGCCACCCAAGGGGACACTCAGGCCTGGGAGCCCAGGACAGTGTAGCTGGCAGGGTTCAGATGCCAAGCAAAGGTGCAGAGATCTTTGCAAGTGCTGTAGGAAGTTGGTATTAATGTTGACACCATCAGCTCTTTTCTGCCTCCTTTTAAATTCTTTGCTATCAGTTGGAAAAGGTTCTCAGATGGAGAGGAAGGTGTGAGGAGCTTGTCAGACAATGCTCTGGAGAGGCATCTGCTCTGCTGAAATGCTCCTGTCTGTGGTGGGTGCAGAGGTTTGGGCTGAAATCAGATCTTGCTGGGGTTGTGCAGCCTGGCTGATATTCTGCTGATATTCTGCTGGAGATGTTTTCCATTGCTCACATTCCTCTGGTCTCTGCTTGGAGCAGCAGGCTCCCTGCTGCTGCTGCAGGTACCTCGCTCAGCCAAGCTGCAGGCACAGGGCAAGCTCATAACCAGTGAGTGGGAAATCCCTGAATTCCACATTCCCTTCCCCACTTTGGGTTTATTGGAGCTTCCAGGCAGGGATTGAAGGGTCATGGCAGTGGCTCAGGTGGCTGCAGTCGCTGTTTGTGGCACATCTGATCCAACCTTTGATGATATCACAGAACTCCTCACACTGTCAGTTTATCCCCATTTTTGTTTTCCCTGTCTCTGAGTGTTTCCCATTGCTTGAGTCTCCATCTGTTCATCTGGAGGTGATACATACCCTGAGAGGGAATGAAGCTGAGTCTCCAGACAGCCCTGATCTTCCATCAGGGTGGCTTTCCTCTCTTTCCACCTGGGAATGACTCTTTGCCCTAAACCCCACGAGGAATATTTGATATGCAAGGTTCCCTTAACCTTCACTGACATGGCTGACGAAGTGGGAGCAGATCCCTGCTCCTGCCTTTGAGCAGGGCAGGATAAAGGGGGTGTGAGTAGGTGTTGCACGGATTCGTATCCCTGGAAATTTGAATATTTCTCTATTTCCAGCCAACCATGGGAGGAGCAGAGTGCTGAATCCCTTTTCCAGGGAAGAGTGATGAGCCCAGGTGTACTGTTAGATGTGGGGAACCTACATTTTAGGGATCTACATGTTACTGGACATGAGATAATGCAGCCTTGAGATGGGAAATCCCAGGAGATGCAGCAGTTCGTGCCATCGCTCATGGAAGTACTTGCTTTGCTTAATTTATGAGCACTGCATCATCTGGAAACCCCAGCTGGAGACCTCTCATCTTCAGCCTTTGTAGCTGGAGAGGGGAATCTTCAGCCTTGTGCAGAAGGGGGGAGTTTTTGCCGGGAGGAAGCTGAGGGCTCCAGTGGCTCATCCAGGGCTGCCAGAGGCAGAGGGGCTGAGTCAGTGGGGCTCAGAAATCCTGGGGCCAGTGGCCAAACCCTTTGTCTGCCCTCTGCCACCTCCCACCCTCCCTCTGCTCTCTGTGCCCTCAGGGGATGAAAGGATAATCAAAGGAGTCAAAGGGATCCAGTGGCCAAAGCCAGACCTGTGGCTTGCTGGAGCCCAGCTTTAGACTCTGCAGGTCTCCCTGATGCTGCAGCACAGCTCTGCTTCATTCCTGCTGCTTTTGAGACAGCTCCAGACTCTGTGCTCAGCATCTCCTCAGGGATCTGGCATTTGCAAGCAGCCAGGACAGTGCTGTCACGTGTGTGGAAAACATTATCCAGACCCTTGGTTTTCACATGGTTTTGGGCTTGGTTTCGGGGTTTCCGTTTGCTTGGTTTTTCTTTGGAATTTTGGATTTTTTATCATTTCTGCCCACAGTTGTTTCTGGGAGTTTAGACCCGAGCAGCAATCCCTGCTCAGGGTTCTGCTGCTCCTGGCTGCCTGCCAGCTGTTGGATCCAGAGCTGCAGGAGCACTGGAATTGCTGTGTCAGGCCCCGAGCTGAGCCTTGGCCGAGGGCAGCCCCAGAGTCACCCTTGCAGCGTTCAAAATGTGTGTGCAGGATGTGCCCAGCCCCGTGTGCCAGGGCTCTCAGGGAGGTGGGAATCCCTGCACAAATCCCAGCTCACAGCTCTGCTGGGATCCTGGCTCTGTGGGAGCCTCAGTTTCCCTTTCTGTAAAGTGGAGAAATCCCAGTGGTTTTATAAAGAGCTTGGAGATTTAGGACTTGTCACTCCCAGGTAAGAGAAAACCAATTGCTAGAAACACCTGAGACATTTCACCTCCCCAGTGCCAGGCTGAGCTTTGTCCTCTCTGAGGGAAACTCCTGCCTGAGCCAGGAGCTTCTGTGTGATGGCAGAGGAGCTGCAGCTCCTTCCTGAGGCTGTCCTGGCTCTGAAGGAGACTGAGAGCATCTTGTCAGATTTGCTGGGACAGCAGCATAATTGTTCCCTGAAGCAGTATCAGGTTTCAGCAGAGGTTAAAGAAAGCAAATTCCATGTGTTTCTGCAGATCACTGTTGTGGAATTCTTGACTTTGCAAACTTGAGCCTAATGAACCGGTGGAGGGAGAGAAATGAGGCTCTTATTAAAAGATAATCATATATTTTAAAAATGCTGAACGCTCACTCAGGAACAATTTGCAGGAATCTGACTTTGTCCTTGCCTCTTGCTTCCAAAAATCCAGGTCTGTGTGAGTTTAGGTAAACACTTGGGCTTTGTGCTGCAGGAGAGTGTTCTCTGAGCCCAGGGAAATACCCACAAAGAGCCTAACTCCCTTTGTGTCCTTCTTCTCCCACAGAGCAAGCTTCCCATGACTAACAGATGCTGGCCTAGATTATGAGCTCAAACAAGAGCGCTCGCTACAATCGTTTCTCCAGTGGCACCACAAGCATCACTACTGCTGAGAGCTCTAACGGGGTAAGGCCACTGCTGCTGGCACAGCAGCACAGCCCTGCTGCCCTTTGAAACAGGCTATTTGCCTGCCTCTTAAAATCTCACTCTTCACAGAGAAAAGCTGGCAATGTGTATGCAGCATTTCACCAGCTCAGGCAAAACCTGAAGGCTTTAAATGCCCTGACGTTGGTTTTTTCAATATTTCAGACAAGAATGGAAACAACTTTTGGACCAGCCTTCTCTGCTGTGACCACCATCACAAAGGGTGGGTATTTAATGCACTGTGTGCGGTTGTTGTCCTTTTACAGATCATAAAGCTGTTGGGAGAATCTCTCTGGTCATTAACCAGGTGTTGAGGGGCTGGGTTTGCTGTTATGTGTCCTGACAGGATGGAAATGAGCAGGCACAGGAATTTTCTCTGCTCAGGCAGACTGAGCAGTAGCACTGGGAAGCCTTTGCTGAAAACAGAGTAGTACAACAGGGTTTGATGCTGAGCTCAGCACCAAATCTTATTGATCCCTGTGACAATCATCACCAATGCTGAAAATTTCCATCTTCCCTCTGTGCCTGACTGTGAGTCACTCTGGAGCTTTGGTAAAACCCCGTGGCCCCTTTTAGCTCAGACAGGAGGGGATGCAGATATCCCTGCTCATTTACAATTCCTGGGCCTTGCTCCTCAAAGCTCAGCAGGTGAGGGGAGCCCGAGCCCTGGCACGTGGGGGGAATGTAGGAAGAGGCCTGGTTTCATTTTGGGATACAAATATCCTTCCTTTAATAGCAACAAAAAGACTTGACACTGATTTTGATAAGGATATGAACATCTGCCCGAGAAAAATGTTTGGATTACATTTGTCCTGGACTCTGGATGGTTTTGGACTCCCAAATATTTGCATTCAGACTTTTATACGTATCAGAGTCAGTTACATGATCTCTATACAAATATTTAATATTTAATTTAGCATGGCTCCCCCATGCCTCAGGGATATCCAGACCTCCCTGGATCCTGGCAATTTTTACTGGTGGCTGAGATACATGGGAGTACAAAGTTTCCTTTTAATAGTATTTTTAAGGATATTACCTGTGCTTTTTGCTGGGCAAGCTCTCAGAGATCAGGGTCATTCTGCCTGTGCTGATACATCCAGTCATGAACCAGCATTGCAGAATCCCTAGTCTCTTCCTTTTCTAAGGAACACTGAGAGCTACAGAGGCTGTCCCATAGCTTGGCAATGTTTCTGAGGAGCCTAAATGCTTGTTTTTCTTTTTTAATTCCCTGCCAAGCTGACGGGACCAACACTTTCAAGCAGCACCGTCGGACCCCGTCCTCCTCCAGCACCCTCACCTACTCCCCACGGGACGAGGATGATGGCATGGTAGGTGTTGGCAGGACCCTCCTGACTGGTTTAGCAGATCAGAATTGAAATGAGAGGTGTCTGGAGCTCCTCTGGACTCCTCTGCCTCCCTCATCATTCTCTGTGATGTGTGCCCCAGGGGCAGGACCAGCCTCAGCATTGCTGGTGCCCTGGGGACGCAGATCATTCTCACCTGGGCCTTTAGGCTGGAGCTGCTGCTGCTGCTTTTCACTCTGCTTGAGATTGTTATGTGGGTCCAAAGCCTGGGAACTGCAAATCCCAGAGCCTCCTTGAGAGGCAGTTCCTGGCTGCAGGGAGAGCAGGGAGCTCAGGGGGAAGCAGCCCCTGCCAGGATGTCTGGGCTGTGACTGGGGCAGGCACTCTCCGTGTTGTGTTGGATGGATCCCAGCTGGCTCTGCAGTTATGGCCAGAGAATCCATTCCTATTCCCACCTCCAGATGGGGCCTCTGACCACAGGGAGCGGGTTTGAAACCTGCAGATTGGGATGTTGGACACTAAGGGCTGTGCTGGGCTTCCCACACAAACCATTCCTGTGTGTCCCAGTATCTTGGTGGTAAAGCAGTTCCCAGTTTTGTATCCAGTTTTATCACTCGCTTCTGAGTAAGTTCTTCTAGGGGAATTTAGTGATTCAACAGTATTCAGGGTTAGCTGCTTGGAGAGAAATTAAATTAGGTAAATCAATTGAATCAAGAACAGCAACAGCAAAGCAAACCTTGATGAAAGGATGGTCCAAGGCTGGACCTTGTCCTGTCCCTGGTGCTCCTGCCACATCTCACAACCACAAGCTCTGTTCAGATCTAAACATGTTAGTAACAAACTTCAAATGAAGTATTTGTAGAGTTAGGTTACAAGACCCAATTTCCAAGCCAGGCATAAATGGATCATTGCTGCTGGAGTTAGAGACTGGGGTCAGCAACAGTGTGGAGCTGCAGCACTTCTTAAAATAAATTTGACACCAGATTGCAAAGAATTTTATTGTCAGCATCCTATAAAGTTCCTTCTGTTGCTCAGAGATCTTGCTGTGTTTTATGTGAGCCCGTGGGGGTTTTGTTTGTTGTTGGTCTTTTTTCTAACAAGTCCTTTGAAAATGTGCCTGGTGTCCTTGGCAAGTGCAGCTCTCCAGCCCACCACTGACCCCAGGAGCTGGGCCAGGGCTCAGGCACCCCTGGCTGTCAGCACAGACCCTCTGGGCTGAGGGCTGGCCTCACAGTGCCCTTTTCACAAGCTGGGCAGTTCTCACAGGGCAGAGGGGAGGATTTTTCCAGAGGAGGGGATGCTGTGAATATTCCATTTAGCCAGGTCTGATAAAGAAACTCCCTGACTCCTTTGAAAACTCCGCTGGCACAAACTGGGGTGTGCAGCCAAGAATGGGGGAGATCTCTGCTGGGAGCCAGCTTCAATCCTCTTGGACAGCCTCAGCCCACTTTCCCTGGAGTGTTAAATATTCTTCAGCAAAAACAGTGAGAGGATTAATGAGTGGTTCAGGAAGCAGCGTGAGGTGCTGACGAACCAGAACCGCCTCGGTCCTGCTCTGCCTGCTGCTCCAGGCAGACTCACTAACCCTCTTAGGAAGCTTCATTTGCTTTGTCAAGAAATAATCTGGGATTTCCCTTCCTCATCACTGAGTTTTCCCTCCTCCAGAAGCTGCCAAGGGCTTCTCAGCCATCAGAGAGACAGCTGGAGAGGAGTCAGAGCCCTCCTGTGACCTCCACCGCCCTTTTTCTTTCCTTGTAAAACTGCTGTTAATGGAACAGAAGCAGAGCAGTGTGCTCTGTGTGCAGGGCAGGATTGCTGCTGTCATCCTGCCTGGGCACAGTGCCACAGGTTCCCACCTTGCTGTGCCTGCATGGAGCTGGAAGCAGGGCTGTGCTGGAGCTTCCACATGGCGGCTGCTCCTGTTGCTGAGGTGGTGGAAACTGCAGCTAAAGATTGCAGCTGAGTATTGGACCATTGGATACCATGGATGGAGGCTGCCTGCCTGTCCAAATCTGTTGTTTACAGGGAGCTTCACCTCTGAGCCAGAGGTGAAAACTCTCCATCTTCCATCAGATGTTAAGAGTGCTCCATCCTTGGGCTCTTTGAAGGTGTGCCTGATGTTTAGTGCAGAAATGAGGTCTCTTGAGTTTTATCCTTGTTTTCTTGGCAAAACCAAGGCTGCAGATACCCAGAGGGTCTGGAACTGCCAGCACACCCTCTGCCATTCTGTGTTTTCCCCACAGCCAGGGGGAGTGAGGGATCCTCCTCAGCACATCCCCTTCTCTGCTGTGCAGTTAACACCAGCATTATCCAAACCAGGACACAGGGAGCTGAGCCCAGAGTGCTACACAAACCTTCTGTGTCTCACACCCCTGCCTCCTGGAATGCTGCAGTCCCCTTCTCTGTTGGTGATCCTCTGGTGACAAACCTGCCTCCCTGCAGAGCCTGCCTTTGCTGCCCTCACCCCCTGTCACCTCCAGAGTGGGAACTGTGCACAGTCATCCTGGTTATTTTAATAATTTCTGCTACTAGTGGAGGAAAATAATAAAACGAATGGATACACATGAAATGGATTTACCTCATTATAACCATTCCTCCTTAAGGTTTATGTATTTAGTCAATAAATATGCTGTCTTTAAGGGAAAGACATTTATGCTTTGGCTTCTAAGCAGATGCAGCATTTCTGAGTTCCTCAGAGCCCAGGATCATAAAAATGAGGCAGCAGAGCAGAGTGAGGAAGCAGCAGGATCCTGGTCTGCTGCTCTCCTGCAGCCCAGCCAGGCTGCACTGGGACTGCCGTGTGCTTTGTCTCTGGGGAGGGCAGCAGCCTCTGAACCTCATCTTGCAGCTTTCATTGCTGCATTTCCTGCTGCCCCTGGGCCCTCCTGCATTGCCTTTGTCTGGCCCTGGCTCTGAGGTCACCCATTTCACCCAGGCCAGGCACACAGAATGCAGCTCCTGAGGCTCACGTGGAACACGAGGAAAAGCATTTTTCCCACAAGGTGCAGGACAGGAGCTCAGCAGTGTCTGGTCCATGCAGCTTTCCCTGTTCCCTGGGCAGTGCCAGGCCTGGGCCAGGGCCAGGGAGAGAGTCCCTTTTCCAGTGGGCAGCCAGGGATCCCCAGAGCTCCTTCCAGCCAACACTCCTCAGGGCTAGGGACTGACAGCCAGGCCTTGGAGAGTGTGACACGTGCAGATGCTCGTCCATCATGCCTCGTCTGAAGCTTCTGGCTTCATTCTTCCACTTCTTTGTCCAAGCATGCATTCTGCTCATTGAAGACCTTTATTGCTCCTCTCTGCACCTTTTCCAGTCCAGCAGCAGCATCTCTCCCACAGTAACCCCTCAGTGGCTGCACTCCCAGCTGCACTGGCTCCTCAGATCCAGTCTCCCCACGGTCTGCAGCCTCCAGTGGTGCTTTGACACCGAATGGCACCTTGGCTACGTGCTGGTGGTTGACATTCCGCCCTGGGAGACGTGCTGTGGTTAATGTTCCAGCAGCAGCACTCCCTCCAAGCCAATCCCAGGGCTGCCATGGCAGAGGAGCTCTCTGGATTGGTGCTCAGTGCGTGCTCTGCTCTCCCCTCCCGAGCAGGAAGCGGCAGAGCCGGGCTCACAGAGAATTCAATAGAAGGAAGTCTCCGCACTTACGCAAAGAAATTTGGCAGAAGTTAGATAGTGAGTGCAACAACAAGTGCTGCTGCAGAGATTAGAGACATTGCAGGAGCTGGAGCGGTCTCTGGGGGAGATTTACAGAGCTTTCCATGAAGGATTAATTCTTCCAGGCCATTGCTTTGCGGGTGTGCACGGTAAGTGTGCAGGGAACGCACCTTGGAGAAGGTGATGTGCTTGGAATGTCCAGGGAGTTCAACCCGAGTGATTCCTGTCTCTGGGCACGGCGCAGGGAAGGGCACACAGCAGCAGGGCCACTCAGTGCAGCTGAGGTGTTGTGGAGGGGGAGAAGTGAGCCTGAGGGCTCTGGCTGGAGTTGGGGAATGATTGCACTGACCAGAGCTGCTCTGTGTCCGCAGCCTCCCATCAGCACCCCGCGCCGCTCCGACTCCGCCATCTCCGTCCGCTCCTTGCACTCCGAGTCCAACATGTCCCTGCGCTCCACGTTCTCACTCCATGAGGAAGAGGAGGAGCCAGTAGGTATTTGGGATTGTCTCAAGGAGCAGGGTTAGGAAGCTCAGTGTCAAACAAGGAACTTAGTGGGCTGTTGTGAGTGCGCAGAGCTCTCGGGGGCAGATTTTGTGCAGTGCCTGGCTCAGGCTCTTGCTTTTAACTTTGTTTCCACCACTGACTCTGCTTCCTCATGTACCACTTCCCTGCCTGGAAAATGAGGACAATGGTGAGGCTTTTCTGCTTCCCAGAAAAATTGTAAATCTGTGCAAAGTCCTGCTTGATTCCCTGGCCCTGCAGCAGAGCAGGGCGGGTTGCAAGGCTCAGGCTGGTGGTCTGGCCCCAGGCAGCAAAAAAATACAATTCCCCGTGGATTTGGAGCCCCATCCCCATTCAGGGCTGTGTGGCACCCCACAGACTTGATTGTAAGCCCCAGGAGGGTGCAAGGAATTGTCTACATGCTGGGGGAGGATACTTTAAACTGAGCTTAGCTTGTGACCCAGTAACCAACCCCAACTGGATGAATAAAAGGTCAGGCGGCGTTCTGCCACTGATCTAGGATAAGAGTTTGTTTCATATTTGGGAACCCAGGGGGCTGTGTTTGCATTTCTGAGAGCAGCACAGGATGAAAAGACAGAGGGAACTGCAGAGATTGATTGGAAATGCTCTGAAATGTGAGCATGGAGAGCTGTGGTGCTCTGGGAGGATGTGCTTGGAGCCCTGTGCTGGCTGTCCTAGTTGGTAAACAAAACTGGAGAGATGGGCCCATTGCAGCAGAAACAATGCTGTTTCTGGTTCCTGAGGAGTGAAGGAGCCCTTCCTGCAGGCTGCTTTAAAATTGCTCTTAAGCTTAGGCTTAGTACAATTTTGACAACTCTATGCTTAGGCCAACCAAGGAGAAAGTCCCAGCCAGTGCAGCCCATGCAGTTCTGGTGAATGAATCACTGGCAGAGGAGTTGGTCTGTGCAGTTAGTTTGCTGTCAGGTGCTTATCCTGCTAGATGCTGGTGGCCCCCAGTTTGTGATGAGCTGAATGAGGGTCTCCAGCCATTCCCAAGTTCATTCTTCCCCTACTGGAACTCAGCAGATCCAGACAGAATTTTATGTTGATGTAATAAAACCCTCAGTGTGCCCCAGGCTCCCCGAGGCTCAGTACTGAGGGGTTGTGTTGTTCCTTCTGCAGAGCTGCAGGCTCTTGGTTTGGACTAATCCCCACTGTGTGTGTCCCTGTGTGTGCCCTGCAGGAGCCCCTGGTGTTTGCAGAGCAGCCCTCTGTGAAGCTGTGCTGCCAGCTGTGCTGCAGTGTCTTTAAGGATCCCGTCATCACAACCTGTGGGGTAAGGCATGGCTCTCCCAAACATCCTGGGTGAGCCACACTCAAGCCTGGACTGTCCCCTCTGTCTCTCCCTGGGGACTGTCAAGCAAAACTAGGTGGGGTGGCTTTTCCCAGGAGAGCTGGACTGCCAGCCACCCCATCCTGGCCATGTTCAGTCTCCTTGCTGTGGCTTCCATGAGGTCGAAAACTCCTCCTGAAGGGCTCTGCAGGAGCTCCTGGGCACCCCAGGAATGGCTGTGCTTCAGTTGTGAAGGAAGTGTTGCTTATAAAACAAGAATGGCTTGAAGCTTCATTTAGTTAATGCTTGCAAAGGGAATTTGAGATCCTCAAATGAGAGGCACATGGTGTTATGAATATTCTTCTGGATTCCATTTTACTGGGATTTAATAGTAGCTGTATATTATTCCTGTGCTCCTTGTGAAGAAAGATGGCTTTGAGATGGCTCTAATGCTTCTGACGTGATCTGATCACCAGGATGGGGCTGTAGCAACAGCAGCAGAGCTCAGGATTGTTTATTGCAGTGAGGGTGCCATTCCCCAAAAGTGCTGGAAGCTGCTGCAGTTTGGCTGCACCATTCCAGTAAGCAGCTCTGCACAGAGACACTGAGATTTAGTGGTTAATGTGGAAAAAAGCCCACTGCAGGAAGCAGCCTGGCTTCATCTGCAGTCCTGCTCTGGCAGCTCTGGAGGGAGCTCAGTGCAGCTGTGCTGGGCAGGAAAAGGCCATGGGAGCAGGGCAGCAGATAACAGCTCCAGAGGGGGACTCACAGCCTTGCCAGGAGCTGGCTCCCTGGCCAGGGAACGTGGCTGAGGAGGCTCCAGGGAATGCACAGGGCAGCATCAGGAGCAGTGAAATGCTGCAGCCTTCATGTTCATTAGTGTGTTAGACTGTGCTTGCTGCTTTGTCAAGTTAAACTGTCAGAACGGAGAGGGGAGCTATTTAAAGTGCTCAAATTTACAGAGCATTTAATGGGCTTACAAACCAGCTGTTCCATCTGCCTGGCAGCAGGACAGGGCTGCTCTGCTGCCTTGTGAGGGCTCCAGAGGGATGGATGTGCTGGGCTGACTGGGCAAGGACAGGGAGAGGCAGAGGGGACAGTCCAGGCTTCCCCTTCCCCCAAGGGCTTCTCAGGGGAGTGAGAGGGATGACATGGGCTACAGTGGAGGAGGAGGGGAAGTAGAGAAACCCTATGCAGATGTGGAGGGTAGGAAGGACTTGGATGTGTTCAAGAGCAGGCTGGATGGAGCTCTGAGCCTTGGTCTGGTGGAAGGTGTCCTTGCCACGGCAGGAAATTGGAACTTGACGATCTCTAAGATCCCTTCCAACCCAAACCATTCCAGGATTCTGTGATGCCATGAATATCAGAGTGTGGCAGAACATGCCCCTGGCTTTGGCCAGCACCACGATCATGGCCTGATCCTGAACGGGAAGAAGGTCAGAGCTCCAAGCTGTGTGTTCAGGACCTGTGCTTCAGCCTGAGCAAGCAGCTGGGGTTTGCCCTGGGCTAGAACAGGCAGAGCAGCTGCTGAGGCTCCTGAGCCCCTGGCTGGGGTGTGTCCCACCTTTCCCATGGGTGGCCACAGGGAATCATTTGCCCGCTCTGGTTTTACGCTGACGCTGCTGTTCCTCTCTGTCCCCACAGCACACGTTTTGCAGGAGATGTGCCTTAACATCTGGTGAGTACAGGGCTGTTCTTGTGTGATGCAGCCAGAACACTGTTATTTCCTGGTTGATTTGCTTTCACCTAAAGAGAAACCTGCAGAAAAATGTCCAAAGGGCTTAAAACAAGCTGTCAGTCAGGCGTTCCACTGCAGCAGTGAGGGGCTGGGGGCCAATGGTGCACTCTGGGGCATGGGCACTGCAGAGAGGGCTGGGCACAGGATGTTCTCAGGTCCTGGAAAATGCAGTGGATAATCCCAGGATAATACATGTCTCGCCCAGAGCTGACCCACTGATTTCAAACTGAAAGCTTTCTGTGGCTGCCTGGATAAAGAAGCAGGGGCCACGTTTGGCATCGACCCCTTCTCCCCCATCTCCTCAATGCCAGGGCTCTGGCCCCTGACTGAGCCCCACTGAGCTGCTTTAGCTCACCCAGCTCTTCCAGAACCCTGGGAGAGCCCAAGCCCCTGGCTGCTGGCCTGGGCTAGCCAGCTCCTGCTTGGGTTGGACTCTGCCTGCAAAAAAAAGACTTTTTTTGGCACGAGCCTGTGCCCCTCTTGGCAAGCTTTTGTTCAGCACAGAGCCAAGCCATTGGCATTACCAGAACAGCGAGCCCTGAGGAGGCTCCCTGGGGAGTCCTACAAAGCAGCAGCTCTTTCTGCCTTAAGATTTTTGTGTTCCACATGCAAGAGGTCCCTCTGCTTTGCATGTTAATCCTCTCACTGTGCTCTGCTATATCAACCCCAGCCCAGAGATCTGTGGCAAAAGGCTTTGCAATTGCAATCCCCATGCCTGGAGTGTTCCATAAACAGCTGGATGTGGCAGAGCTCAGCTGATGAGGTGGTGATCAGTCCAAGGCTTGGACTCGATGATCTTGGAGGTGTTTTCCAACCTAAAGGATTCTGGGTTTCAGTGGTTGCTGGCAGCAGGAGCTGAGCCCAGGCCTGGGTGAGGAGCAGGTTATGGCTGGGGCACCTGGTGATTTGTGTACACTCACCCTTCAGGCAGCACAAGGCAGCGTGCTGAATCAGTGTGGCCTTCTTTCACTGGCAGCTCCCTCAATCATTATGGATTAACACAACCTGTAACTTTTCCACACCCCAAGACAAACCAAAGATGATGGCTGGCAGGCCTTGGGTGAATATTCCTGCCTCTTTCCATGGCCACTCACGTGGCAGCTGGCTGACCCAGCCAGGGAAAGCACAGACCACAATTCCCACGCGGGGGCTCTGGGAGATGCTGGTGCCCTGTCTCAGCCCTCCCTGACTGTGCCATCCTTCCCTCCCTGGCAGAGAAGTGCCCCGTGGACAACGCCAAGCTGACGGTGGTGGTGAACAACATCGCGGTGGCCGAGCAGATTGGGGAGCTCTTCATCCACTGCAAGTACGGCTGCCGGCCTGCTGCCAGCAGCAAGAACCCTGCCTTCGAGGTGGACCCCCGTGGCTGCCCCTTCACCATCAAACTCAGTGCCAGGAAGTGAGTGCTCCTTCCAGGGATCCTCTCCAGGGAAAGGGCCCTGCCTGCCCGAGCTGCCCTGTGGCTCCGGGGCTGTGCCTGCCCGAGCTGCCCTGTGGCTCCAGGGCTGTGCCTGCCCGAGCTGCCCTGTGGCTCCGGGGCAGTGCCAGCCCAACCTGCCCGAGCTGCCCTGTGGCTCCAGGGCAGTGCCAGCCCAACCTGCCCAAGCTGCCCTGTGGCTCCAGGGCCCTGCCAGCCCAGCTTGCCCTGCAGCTCCAGGGCCGTGCAGCTCCTGCCAGCACTGCTGTGTTTGGCTCTGCCAGGGGAATGAGCAGGGTGGCTTCAGGGGCAGCTCAGGGCTGGTGTCAGAAGGAGCATGCTGTTTTCTGCTCCCTGAGTGCCAGCACTGGGACAGGGGGTGCATTGTGAGAGCAGCCACCTCACATCTGGGATGAAACTCCATGGCTGAGGTCAAGTAGAGAACTTGGGATTCTTTTTGGAAGAGGAATTATCTTCGTTATATCCTATGAATTTGAAATCTATCTCCCTCCCCATCCCTGTTTTCCCTGTCCATTCCTGTCGTTGATGGCTGCCTGAAGGCTCAGCCCATCAGCTGCAGAAGTAGATGTGCCCTGTGAAAATGTGGCCTATTATTACTCTCAATTTTCTGGCCAAATGAGAATTTAAAGCTGGAATTGCAGTCTCAGAGCAGGAGGCTTTGGATCATCTGACAGCCTCAAGGGCTGGTTTGCTCCTCTCCTGAGGATCTGTGTTGTTCCCAGTAATTTTTGCTCGTTGCTGATTTTCCCTGCCTTTTTTTCTCTCCCTGGCAGGGATCATGAGAGCAGCTGTGATTACAGGCCCGTGCGCTGCCCCAACAACCCCAGCTGCCCTCCCCTCCTCAAAATGAACCTGGAGGCTCACCTGAAGGAGTGTGAGCACATCAAGTGTCCTCACTCCAAATATGGGTAAGGAGCTGATGCTTTGGGATGGGGAACTGCACTGAGCTCATGACTGAGCTGCTTTTGGGCTGCTGCAGCCTTGGGGTGGCCCCGAGGCTCTGAGCAGCTCTCCCCAGTGCTGTGCATTGGCCTGAGGCTGAGCTGGGGGTTACAGGGGTTGCAGGAGGCAGCTCTGGAGCCTCGGGGTGGGAACAGGCAGGTCACGGTGAGGAGGAGGATGAGGAGGGTGAGTGCACAGGCAGCAGAGCTGGAGGAGAGTCAGCACGAAGAGAGGGGGATGAGGACAAGAGTGATTTGAGTGCCATGGCTGTGTCTTGCCAACCAGGCCTTGTCCCAGGCAAGGGAAGTGCTGATCCACCTCAGAGGGTTCCCTGTCACCCGAGCCCCAGGGCAGCCCCTGCTTGGGTTTACTGTTGCAGGAAGAGTTCACAGAAAGTTCTTCCATCACTGGCACAGGGCAGTGGTGGAGTCCCCATCCCTGAGGCATTTAAATGCCATGTAGGTGTGGCACTTGGGGACATGGGTTAGTGGTGGCCTTGGGGAACAAATGGACTCGATGATCTTAGAGGTCTTTTCCAACCTCAGCAGTTCTATGATTCCATGATCCTAAGCCATGTCTTGGCAGAGGCAGAGCAAGGCAAGTCCTGGCAGAGCAGCCCTGACTCTGTGCCCTGCTGCAGGCCCAAGGCAGCATCTGCTGAGGTCAGCTGCAGTTTTTTCCACTGGTTTTTATGACTCCTGGTGAGCCCAACAAACTGACACCACCTCTGTCTCCTGCCCAAGATCTGCTTTTCCTTGCATCTTCCCAGACAGACAGTCAGACAGTCCAGTTTGGGGCCAGTGCCCTGCTGGAAGAGTGGGAGCTGCTTGGCCTCTCTTGTCCTGCAGTTGCCTCTCCCAGCAGGATCAGAGAACCATTAAAACTAGAAAGGACCTCCACGATGATCAAGTCCACCCTTTGAAGGATCATGAACCACAGAATCCCTGCTGCTGGCAGGAGGAGCAGGACAGCTGGGGACCCACACAGGCCTTGGAGCTCCCCTGAGGAGACAGCTGAGCAAGGAGGCTCCAGGAGAGCCCTGCTCCAGCCAGCATCTGCCTTCCCCCAGGTGTGCATTCATAGGAAACCAGGACACCTACGAGACCCACCTGGAGACGTGCAAGTTCGAGGGGCTGAAGGAGTTCCTGCAGCAGACGGACGATCGCTTCCACGAGATGCAGGTGGCCATGGCCCAGAAGGACCAGGAGATCGCCTTCCTGCGCTCCATGCTGGGCAAACTCTCTGAGAAAATCGACCAGCTGGAGAAGAACCTGGAGCTGAAGTTTGGTGAGTGTGCACCAGATGGGCTCTGTGCTCAGGGCTGCAGGGACAGGGCAGCTCTTGGGTGCTGCATTACGGGGTTGCTGTCCCTGCTGATGGCAGCGCTGTGTTCCCAGGCTGGGGGGCAGTGGGTGCCCTCTGCCTGTTCCCTGGGGAGCCAGCAGTGGCTCTGCAGTGACTGTGGGCCTGTCCCTCTCTCACAGATGTGCTGGATGAGAACCAGAGCAAGCTGAGCGAGGACCTGATGGAATTCCGCAGGGACGCCTCCATGCTGAACGTGAGGATGGGCCCTGGCCTGGAGTTACCTGGCTCTGCCCCTGGCTGGGCTTCTCCTGCAGTGGGGGGAGCCTTTGGGGAGAGCCTTCTGCTCCAAAGCCTGGGCCTTTTGCAGGGGCATTGTCCCCAGAAAGCAGGGAGATGAGCAGATCCAAGCAGTCTGGTGAATTGCAGAGTGAGGAGACAGGACAGTATTTTCTGAGAGGTATTTCTGGGCCTCTCTGAATACTGAGAGTTTGGTGCAGCTCTGAGGTGCTGCCAGAGCCCTGTGGTCTCTGGAGGGAGGTGCCAGAGGGATGTGGCAGTCACAGAGCAGAGCAGAGAGCTGTGGTCAGGGGATGAGTTGGCCACTCAGGAAGGGCCCTGTGGGAGTCAAGAAGGCAAGAGGGGTTGGAGCAGTGGAGGGGACAGTCCTAAAGCCATGGATGGCTGCACAGCTCACACAGCTTGTTGTGTTTTTCAGGATGAGCTCTCCCACATCAACGCTCGGCTCAACATGGGCATCCTTGGATGTGAGTATCCCCATTATTGCCTGGGCTGGGTGTGGGGAGCCCAGGGAGCCCCTCCTGGCTGCCCTCCCTCCCTCACCTGGCTCTCCTCTCTGCAGCCTATGATCCTCAGCAGATCTTCAAGTGCAAGGGGACCTTTGTGGGCCACCAGGGCCCCGTGTGGTGTTTGTGTGTGTACTCCATAGGAGACTTGCTCTTCAGTGGCTCCTCAGACAAAACCATTAAGGTAAGAGCTTCCCTCTTCCATGCACCTTCCTCATTTGCACGTGGAACAGAAGCTGAGTTCATTTGTGGGGTGGGTGGATGCTGCTTCCTAAAGTTTCCTCCCAAGAATCAAATGATTCTTTATGATTATAGCTGGACAAAATTATCTGCAAGGAAACATTATGTGCTAGTGAAATTGAGAGTCAAACAGAGATCTTTGCAAGGCCCTGATTAGAATCTCATTCCTGCAGCTGCTGGTTTTGCTTTATGTGGCATTTAGGGTACTCAGGACTATTTCAGCTTCTGATTTTATGTTCCTTTGTCATAAAAAGTCATCTTTGAACAAAACATTTGTCCCTGATCCAACGTGTCCTTTCCCTGTTTTATGGCATGTTTGTTTTCCTTTGTCCTGTTTTCAGTAACTCAGAGTGACAGCACTGCCCCAGTGCAGCCTCAGCAGCCCTTCCCAGTGTCACTGTGGTGGCTGCTGGCCAGGCTGGGGACCCCCTGGCTGCCACAGCTGACCCTGCCAGGAGCAGAGCTTTGTTGAGCTTCCTTGGTTGTAGAACCACGTGGAGGGAAATGGATATTGCTGCACATTAGGGAAGGAAAGCAGATTTCTCCCCTGCTCTGCTCTGGGCACCACATTCCCCTGTTCCTCCTGAGAGAGCCCTGTGTGCTCAGGGAAAAGCCTGTGCAGTGGCAGAGGAAGCTGTGCTGTGCCACTGGAGCCCTGGGATGGGGTGGGAGGTGCTACAGCAGGAGCCTGAGAGCTGCTCCTTTGTCTCAGAGTGTGGTGTTGGCCTGGGCTGAGGCAGCAGAGCCGGAGCAGCTGCTGGCCTGTGTCTCGTTAGCTTCAGCCTGGCCCTCTGCAGTCCTTTCCCTGTGCTAGCCAGGCCTGCAGGGCTGCCAGGCAGTGCCCAGGTGCCAGGCAGTGCCCAGGTGCCAGGCAGTGCCCAGGTGCCAGGCAGTGAGTGCCCAGGTGCCAGGCAGTGTTCAGGGCTGCCAGGCAGTGCCCAGGTGCCAGGCAGTGCCCAGGTGGCAGCCAGCCTGTTTCCTCCCCTGGCTGCTGACATCCTGCCCAGGCTCCAGCCTCTGCCCCTTGTTCTCTGTTAGGTGTGGGATACCTGTACCACTTACAAGTGCCAAAAGACCCTGGAGGGTCACGATGGAATTGTGCTGGCTCTCTGCATCCAGGGGTGAGTGACGAGGTGCACCTGTCCCTGGGGAGAGTGGGGACAGCCCTGGGGCCCCTGAGCATGCCCTCACACCTGCCATCCTCTGCCCTGCGTGTGCCATGGCACTGCCCTCGGTGACCCCCTTTGTGTCATTGCAGGAACAAGCTGTACAGTGGCTCTGCTGACTGCACCATCATTGTGAGTACAGGGCACCCACAGCAGCAGGGCCTGCCCCTCCTCTGCCAGGGGGGACTGATGGCCCTCCTGTGCTGGATCCACCCCTGGGGTGGGCGTGGGGCTTTCCTACACCATGGATTTCCCACTCCAGCTCCTCCCTGGGAGCAGGGGGCTGGTGCTCTGGGCTGGGGCAGGGTGGCCTGTCCAGTTCCTCATGGGTGCTCTGCTTTGGTGGGCTGGACAGTGATCTTAGAGGGCTTTTCCCACCTAAAGCATTCCACGATTCTTTGCAGGTCTGGGATATTCAGAACCTGCAGAAGGTGAACACGATCCGAGCACACGACAATCCTGTTTGCACTTTGGTCTCCTCACACAACATGCTCTTCAGTGGCTCCCTCAAAGCCATCAAGGTGCAGCTCCAGGGCTCCTCTGGGACTGCTTGGGGAGCAGGGGTACAAATTCTGAGGCAGAAGTGTCCAAAGAGGAAGGAAGTGGCATTTTTGACCTGTAGGTGACCTTGTTGCTAAGGTCTCCTGAGCCACAGAGCAGCCAGCACTGCAGAGGTTTAGCCCATGCTCTGTGCTCAAGGGAAAGCTGTTCTCTGGCTGCAAAACCACTGTATTTCTTCCAACTCTAAACCTGAGGCTGCAGCTGCAGTATCCTGGCAGCTCCTGAGTGTGTGTGTCCTCAGGTCCCCAACAGACCTGCCCAGATCATTGGGAATTGTGTCTGGGCTCCAGAACTGGCTGGAGATCCAAGCTGTCTGTTTTGAAACCACCTCCAAAGGATCTTGAGTCTGCCTTCCCTACCTAAAACATGCAGAAATCAGGAACAGCTTTTCAGGCTGCCCTTTCAAGCCTTGGCTAGATTCCTGTGGTTGTGCTTCCAGCTCCTGGTGAGACAGCTTATGGGCCCGTCCATCTGTAAGAGGACTGTGCTCTTTTCTTTATCTGGGGCCTGGAGTGGTTCAGCTCTGGAGAGGGCTCAAGGCTGGAGCAGCCACACAGCACAAGGAGAATTTGGGGCCTTTGGGTTTGTCATCCCTGGCCACTTCCTGCCAATGAGCCAGGCAGGCTCAGAGTGGGGGGAGTGAGATCTGCCAGTCCCTGTGTGCCAGGGGTGGGAGGGGAGGTGCAGGGCAGTTCCTTGCTGCAGCTGTGGTTTAGGCTTTGCAGCCCGTGGCTCTGCTAGGGGAGGGTCTCTGCCAGCAATAATGCAGGCTCCAGGCTGGCTCCCTCAGGGAATGTGCTTCCTCAGCAGTTTCTGGGTTTATCTGCAAGTCAGTGGGATCAGGCAGTTCCCATCAGGCAGGAGAGCTGGCACGAGGATCCCCACAAGAGCTGTGAGGGCCTCGGGCAGGGAGGGTGGGCACTGCTGTGTCCTGCCCAGCCCCACTGAGATCCCCCCCACCCCGTGTGTGTCCCTGCTTTCCACAGGTGTGGGATATTGTGGGAACTGAGCTCAAGCTGAAGAAGGAGCTGACAGGTCTCAACCACTGGGTCCGAGCACTGGTGGCTTCCCAGAACTATCTGTACAGTGGATCCTACCAGACCATCAAGGTGGGGCTGAGCACTGGTGACACCCTGAGCCCCCTCTCCCTGTCCCTCTCTGGGCTCTGCACTGGGGCAGCAGCACCAGAGGAGCTGCTGGGATGTGAGAGCACTGCTGACACGTGGGGTTTTCCTGTGCTGATTGCATCTCCCCAGGCTGGGCCTCGGGAGCTGCTGGGGAGGCTCACTGGGACAAACTGGGGCCTCAGCCGTGGCGCCTGGAGGCTGCTGCAGCCTTATCTGCACTGACACTCCTGCTGATAACGAGGGAAGGTCACTGCCTGAGCTGTGAGAGCTGCAGAGCTACCATAAATCCGTGTGAGGGTTCCCAGTGCCCTCCCTCCTCTGTGCTGGCTCAGGTTCTGATGAATAGGTCACCTCTCAGGGGTGAACTGTCTGGGGGACACAGGAAGATTGGAAGTTGCCCTTCTCAGTGTTAATGAATCTCTGTTAATTTGTCTGCGCTGGGTTTTAGTGCTGTCAAGGACTGGGCTGTGTGTGCACATGTGTGCAGTCACACACAAAGGGTGTGAAGTCTCCACACAACCTTTCCAGCCTGGATATTTAAAGTAACAGAGATTGTTCTGCAGTGCTAAACATTCCCAGCTGGATGGGGTTGTCCCTAAAGGTGCGATCTGGGCACACGGGGAGCCAGGCTGACTCTGTGCGTGGCAGAATGGCTGCAAGGGATCTCCCCTGGGGAGCAGGGTCTCATCCTGCCTCTGCTCCATCTCTCTCAGATCTGGGACATCCGGAACCTGGAGTGTGTGCACGTGCTGCAGACGTCGGGAGGCAGCGTCTACTCCATCGCCGTGACCAACCACCACATCGTGTGTGGCACCTACGAGAACCTCATCCACGTATGGCACGGGCATGGGGCTTGGGGATGGGCACAGGGGAACCTCATCCACGTATGGCACGGGCATGGGGCTTGGGGATGGGCACAGGAGAACCTCATCCACATATGGGATGGGCACAGGGCTTGGGGATGGGCACAGGGGAACCTCATCCACGTATGGCACGGGCATGGGGCTTGGGGGTGGGCACAGGGGAACCTCATCCACGTATGGCACGGACACAGGGCTTGGGGGTGGGCACAGGGCTTGGGGATGGGCACAGGGGAACCTCATCCACGTATGGCACGGGCACAGGGCTTGGGGGTGGGCACAGGGGAACCTCATCCACGTATGGCACGGACACAGGGCTTGGGGGTGGGCACAGGGCTTGGGGATGGGCACAGGAGAACCTCATCCATGTATGGCACGGGCATGGGGCTTGGGGATGGGCACAGGGGAACCTCATCCACGTATGGCACGGACACAGGGCTTGGGGGTGGGCACAGGGCTTGGGGATGGGCACAGGAGAACCTCATCCATGTATGGGATGGGCACAGGGCTTGGGGATGGGCACAGGAGAACCTCATCCATGTATGGGATGGGCACAGGGCTTGGGGATGGGCACAGGGGAGCCTCATCCACGTATGGGATGGGCACAGGGCTTGGGAATGGGCACAGGGCTTGGGGATGGGCACAGGAGAACCTCATCCACATTTGGGATGGGCTGCTGGGCTTGGGGATGGGCACAGGAGAACCTCATCTACGTATGGGATGGGCACAGGGCTTGGGGATGGGCACAGGGGAGCCTCATCCACGTATGGCACGGGCACAGAGGCTTGGGGATGGGCACAGGGGCATGGGGATGGGCACCTGGCTCTGCCCATCCCCTGGGGCACAGCACCTGGCTCTGGCCATCCCCTGGGCACAGCACCTGGCTCTGCCCATCCCCTCGGGCACAGCACCCTCCTGGCACTGTGCATGGAGGCAGGAACAGCTCCCAGAGGGGAGCTGGGTGGCCTCAGCCCAGTGTGATGCCCAAGCCCAGCTGTCCCCACAGGTGTGGGACATCGAGACCAAGGAGCAGGTGCGCACGCTGACCGGGCACGTGGGCACAGTCTACGCCCTTGCCGTCATCTCCACGCCCGATCAAACCAAAGTCTTCAGCGCGTCCTACGACCGCTCGCTCAGGGTGCGTGTGGGGCCGTGTGTGGGGCTGGACACGGAGCCTGGCACAGCCCAGGAGCCCCAAGGAAAGGGTGGGGGGAACCCCAGAGGCCTCTGTGTGTCACTTGTGTCACCCATGTCACTTGTGTCACCCATGTCACTCGTGTCACCCGTGTCACCCGTGACATGCAGCATCCCCCCCCATCCCTCGTGCTGCTCTGGGCTGTGCTGGGCTCACGTCCCCGTGTGTCCCCACAGGTGTGGAGCATGGACAACATGATCTGCACCCAGACCCTGCTGCGCCACCAGGGCAGTGTCACCGCCCTGGCCGTGTCCCGCGGCCGCCTCTTCTCCGGCGCCGTGGACAGCACTGTAAAGGTGGGTCTGCCCAGGCTTCTCCTGCGTGGGCTGGGCTCCTCCAGTGCTGGACTTAGGGCATTAAATGAGTTAGGAGTCAAACAGGAGGGTGGGGCCAGGTGAGGGCTGAGCTCTGCTGCCAGGGAACAAGTGACCAGACAAGAGGGCATAACCTCAAACTGGGCCAGGGGAGGTTTAGGTTGGACATCAGGAAGAATTTCTTCATGGAAAGGGTTGCTAAGGGAGGGGCTGTCCAGGGAGGTGGTGGAGTCCTCATCCTGGAGGTGGCACTCAGTGCTCTGGGCTGGGTGACAAGATAGGGATCAGTCACAGGTTGGATTTGATGATCTTGGAGGTCATTTCCAACCTTAATGATTCTGGGAGTCTTTGAAACAAGGGGATGGTTCTCCAGGGGTGGGAGGTTTCCCTCCTGACAGTGTTGTGGATGCTGGCAGTGCAGAGGGAGGCTCTGTGGGGATGAGGAGAAGCCCACAGGGCTGCTCAGGAGTCACTGCCTGCGGTGCCATCGTCTGTCCACAGGTCTGGACGTGCTAACGAGAGCGTCACACGAGTCCTGCACACTGAAAGACCAAAAACTCTCCCTTCCATCGGCCTGTGGGTGACCACACCACTGAAACGACTGCTGCAGCTCCTCCTGCACCGACCACTGCCTGCTGCTGCTGCCCCTCGGCCGGCGGCTCTCCGGACGGCTCTGCCCCACGGACGCTCCAGGTGTTCCCTCACATCTGCCCCAGATGATTGGAAAAGAGGAAGCTCTTCCAGTGCCAGTGCCCTCCTCTGCCTGTGTCCCCCCGGCTGGGGACACCCCCAGGCTGGGGCTGGGGTGACACTGGGCCTGGGGGCTCAGTGCCAGTGCCAGGACTGGACAGATCCGTGTGTCTGCTGGGCACAGGCTGGGCCCCTGTCCGTGGCAGGACTGAGCTTTAGGCTGTACCCTGGGTGGGCACCCGAACCCTTTCTGTCTCTAGTATTTAATTTACTGCCAAGGCGCCGGGCCGATCCAGCTGGGAAGAGGTGTTTCCTTGAGTAGCCAGGTACGATTTTTATGCCACAGCTAGTTCTCAAATCAAGTTCCACAAGCCCATTGTTCACCACCCTGTAATAATGGTCTCCACATTAAAGACAAAAAGCCTCCGTTGCATTTTTACTCACATTTTCTACTGTTTTTAAGATTGTAATATAGATTTGATTATTTCTTCATTGACAATAAAAGCAGAAAGAGTTGTTCCTGCCCGGTGTGAGTTATTGCAGGGAGCCAGCAGCCAGCACTGGCCCTGTGGGGTGAAAATTGAAGTGCCTGGGCCCTACACTGCACAGGGAACAGGTCCCAGCCAGGCCCCAGCACCCCACAGAGGCACCCAGGGGTGCCCTCAGACTGTGCAGCACAAACACCCAGCACGCCACGAGGACTCGGGAGGGCTTGGGGACACAAACAGTGGTGGCAGCCCAGCAGGGGTTTTATTTTTTTATTTTTGTTTAAATATTTGTTGCCAGACTTGGTATAGGAGCAAACGTCTTCACAGCACCACGAGCCATCTACAATTCAGAATAGGAAGAATAAAGACGAGTAGAGGTGAAATCTAAGCACAGAAGAGCAGGGAGCAGCACCAAGATGCAGAGCTGGACAGATGGGATACGATACAGAGTCCATAACTTAATCATAAAAAATATATATATGTATATATCCATCATGTAGAACTTTATGGAATTTTTTTTAGATACATATTTTTTTTTAATTTTCAACAGATATTTTCAGGCGGGTGATTTATTTATTTTTTTAAATTATTTTTAAAGTCTTTTTTTTTTTTGTGTTTTGTTGGTTTTTTGTTTTTTTCAAAAGAAATTTCAAAGTTGTGCCAAACACATCTGGATCAGCGACCACAACAGGAGAGACGGGGGAGAGACAGGGAAGGGAGGGAGAGGGAAGGAGGGAGAGACCACTCCACGTCTCGAGAGAAAGAAAGGAACAGCAACACTTTTGTTTGGAAACCACAAGCAAAAAATGCATTCATCAGGACTCAAGCGACTGAACCAGACTCCAACTCCAGTTTGTACAGGAATATACAGCGGAGCATCCCGCGGGACGCACCGGGCACACGCACCCCGCGTGCACACCCACGCACACCCACACGCACCCAGACACAGACCGACAGCAAAAGCGAGGGAAAGAAACCGAACCAAACCCTGAAGACACTCCAAAAGAAATGAAACACCTCCGGTGTGAGAATTAACAAAAACCTCCATAAAACAAGGCACATCCTTTGAGTTCGTAACGGTGGAAAAAGAAAGACGCGACACTGAATCCCAACGGAAAACCCGACCAGAACCGCTCGCACGTACCTTCCACCCAGAGAAAAGGTAAATATTGTGCTACTCTTAGAATGAGTTTGCCACAAGACACACAGCTTAGTATAATCTAATAGTTTTTCTCAAGCTAAAATCCAGTTTTCTCTTGATTTCTTTTAAACTGCTTTATATATAATTGCTAATATTTTTAAATCTTTTAAATATATATTTGTTAAAGTTTATTTCTTTTTTATTATTTTGGGGTTGGGGGAAATCTGCTTTATATCTTTTTTTTTTTTATTATTTTTTTTCCCCTCCAATAAATTAATACTTTTTTTTTTTTTTTATAGCTTATCACCGTCCTGTCCCCAGGCGGGGAGGGGCCGGGCAGGGGCACGTCCCGCTGCCCCCAGGGCCACCGCCAGCCTTGCCCGCCCCCGCCAACGCCGACCGAGAAAAGAAAACAAAATTTAAAAATCAAAATAAAAAACGGAGCAAAGAAACCCAAGTGCATTTGCCCGCCCGGCCCCGCCACCAGCAAACGCCGTCGGTGACACGCGGCTGGCGGAGCCACCGCGCCGGGCAGGGCTTGTGCTACATTCGGGCGGCGGTGACCCGCGGTGCCGCGGCGGCCAGGGTCAGCCCGGAGCCCCCCGGAGCCCCGGCCGCGGCTCGGTCCGGAGCTTTGTGTTGCTTTGTTTCTTCTGTTGGGATTTATTTCTGTGGTTTTTGTTTTGTTTTTTTTTGCTTCTGCAAAAGGGAGTCCTGCCGGAGCCGGCGCCGAGTCCGTGAGCACAATCCTGAGGTATCTTCTTCTTTGTGCAAACCCCGAGGGACGGGATGTCCGGGAGGGGACGGCTGTACAAAGGGGACCGGGGGAGGGCGGCGGGGCCGGGGGGTCGTGGATCGTTGTGCCCTTGTGCCCACGTAAGCCCTGAGGTTCTCGGGGCCCTGGCGCCCCTCACTCCAGCATGGCATCCAGCTGGTCCGCCAGGTCGTCGAACATGCTGCCGATGTCGTCCAGGATGCTCACGGTGCTCTTCGACTCCACGGCCGAGCTGGGGAGCGACAGAGACGCGTCAGGGCAGGGCATGGAACGGGGGCACGGCACAGCCCCCTGGGCCCCATGGCACGGCCCTCCTGCCCCTTTGTGCTGCGGTGCCCAGCACTGTGTCCCCAGCGCCGTGGCACAGTGTTCTGGCTCCATGATGTCCCCAGTGTCCCCTCCCCAAGACAGGCCCCAGGCCACCCACGTGCCTAGGTCCCCCTGCCCATGCTGCTCCAGAAGATGTCCTTCAGTGCCACCTCCCCAGGGCAGCTCCAGCCAGGGTCCCCCGGTGCTCCACCGGTGTCCCCCGGCACCATCCCACTCCCGCCGCGGTGTCACAGCCTGACCCCTGAGCATGCTCCTTATGGCCTGCTGTGCTCGGTGGCACCGAGCGGCCTCACACCCACCCCTGCGCCCCCTTACTCTGCCGCCTGACTGTCCTCCTGCTTGATCTTCTCCTCCACGGCCTGCAGCGCGGCGGCCAGGGACGCGCTCGTCTCCTCCAGCTTCTGCTGCGCCAGCTCGGGGCCGCCGCTGTCCACGGACGGGCTGGCGATGGTGGAGCGGGGCGGCTTCACCGGCACCTGCTGGGGCTGCGCGCCGGGCGACAGGGGCTTGGCGGGGCTGGAGCAGAGCGAGGGCGGGGTGCTCGAGGGCTTGGCCGCGGGGCTCAGCTGCCGGGCTGGCGACGGGGCCGGCGTGGAGCTGGCGCTCACCGACTGGATGGCGGCGTGGGGCTTGGGGGGCTTGGGCGCCGTGGGGGGCGGCGTGGGCTTGGGGGACACCGGGGGCGGCGTGCCATGGACCCGCTTCACCTCTGCGGAGAGAAGGGAGAGGGGCAGGAGGGCGGCGGGGCCGGCGGGCACTCCCGGCGTCCGCCCCGCGGAGCGCCCGTCCCGGGGGGCTGGCGGGGCACCTACCTGGGCTGCCGGGGCTCGGGATGGGCACCTTTTTGGGGACCGGCACCGGCGGCCCGGGCATCTTCTGAGGCGGCTGCGTCAGCACGGGCTTGGGGGACACCGGCGGCTTGAAGGGCTTCTTGGGCTCGGCGGGCGGCGGGACGAACTCGGGGCCGTCGGGGTGGGCGGCGGGCGGCGGGGTGGGCGGCGGCTCGGCCCCGCTCAGCTCCGAGGCCGGCCGCCGCTTCACGGTGCCGGTGCCGTTCTGGTACACGGCGAGCGTGGCCGGCTCCAGCGCCGGCTCCTTGTCCTTGGCTTTGGGCCGGCGCTTGACGGTGTCGGACTCGGTGAGGACGAAGCGGACGCCGTCCTGCTGGCTCTGCCGGGCCCGGATCCGCCGCTTGAGCGTGGCGCTGGCCTCCACCTTGGCCAGGTCCCCGTGGCGGTGGGCCGGGGACAGCCCCTCGCCCGTCTCCCCGCGGGCCGGCCCCAGGGGCCGCGGCCGCTGCTTGATGGTGAGGGTGCCGTCCTCGGCGAAGGGGATGCCGTCGGGGGAGCCGCCGCGTTCCACCCGCAGCCGCTCGCCGGGGCCGTCGGCGGCCGCCTCCGACCGCACGCTGTCGGCGCGCTCTCGGCGGGCGGCTGCCACCAGCCCGGTGACGGGGCCGCTGATGGTCCGGCGCCGGTTCACCACCTCCCCGTCCAGCCCGATGGCCTCCTTATGCTTGACGGTGGCCAGCACGGTGGCCACGCGGGCGCGGTCGGGGCTGCCCGGCGGCGGCCCGGGCTGTAGGTAGTAGCCCTCGGGCGCCTTGGCCGGCGCCGGCCCCGGCCCGGCTGCCACGTGCGGCTTCTGCAGCGCCAGGGCGCGGGCCCCGCCGCCGATGGACGACATCTCCAGCATGGCCGCGATGCTGCGCACGCTGCCGGCGCTGCCCGTGTCCACGCTGCCGCCCAGGTCGCTCGCCCGCCGCTGCTCCCGGCGGCCCTCGCCCTCGGCGCTCGCGGCTCCGACGGCCGCCTCGCCCTCACCCTCCTTGGGGAAGTCCTCGGCCATGCCGGCGCTGGAGATGGCAGAGCTGGAGCGCTTGGGAGGGGGAGGCGGGGGTCCTTTCTTCTTGGGCCGGACGGCGAAGGACTGGCTGCGGTTGACGTTCTTGTCGCCGCCGGCGGGTGCCCGCACCGAGTGGCTGCGGCCCACGCGGCGCTGCACGGTGGCGTAGGGCCCCGCGTCCGGCACCAGCAGCTCGTCCCGCTCCTGCTCGCTGTCGGAGGCGGCGTAGCGGTTCAGGCTGTGCGCCCGCTTCTTCGGCCTGCCCGGCTCCTCCTCGCCCTCGCCCGCCGGCGGCAGGCACAGCACGGGCACCGAGACGGGCAGCACGGGCACCCCCGGCGGCGGCGCCGCCTCGCCCTCGGCGGGCTGCGGCAGGACGTAGGCGAAGCCGCGGTGCGTGGGCGACTGGGGCAGGGAGCGGGGCGATGCCGGGCGCTCGCCGGGCGGCAGCAGCTGCGGGGTGGGCTTCACCTTGGCCGTGGCGTGAGCGGCCGCCGGGCCTTGCGGGGACGAGGGCCGCGCCTTGCCGGGGGTCTGCGGCGGCGTCAGCTGCCCGGCGGAGGCGGGGAAGGGCTGCCGGGGCTTGCCGGGCACCGGGGGCACGCTGGCGCGCTTCACGGGGTGGCCGTGCCGGGCCGGGCGGCTCTCCTTGGGCGGCGCAGGGGGGCTCTCCCCGGCCCCTTCCGCCAGGTACTCCTGGCTCTTGGAGATGGCGGCGGCGGGGGGGCCCCGCGGGCCGTCCCCCAGCAGCTCCTGCGAGCTGCTCATGCCCCGGGCGCGGCCGCCCAGCCCCGGCGGCGAGCGGTAACCGGGGGCTGCGGGGTTTGCCGCCTTCTCGGGGGGCTCCTCGGGGCCTTCGCCCGTTATGGCCACCTGCAGCTCGCTGCTGAGCTCGCTGTCCTGGAAGGTGGTCATCTTGGGCGACTGGCACTCGGGCGGCTCCGGCGGCGGGGACTCGATGGCCAGCACCTCTGGGCTCGGCCCCGACGCCTTCCTCTTCAGCGTGCCCGGCTCGTACTTGCCCAGCTCGGCGCGCTGCAGCTCCGCCAGCTTCTTCACCGCCAGCATCAGCTTCTTCTGGTGGCCTGGGGGCGGCACATGCCATCAGTGTCACCGCCAAGGCCACCGCAGGCGGCGCCGCGCGCGGGGCCTTACCCAGCTTGGTGATGCCGATCTCCTGCAGGTCCTCCCAGGTGATGTCGGTGATGAAGTCGATGTTCTCGTAGCCGTTCTCCACCAGCACCTTGTAGTACTGGGACAGGCCGATCATGGAGAGCCACAGCGCCAGGTTGGCCTGCGGTGGGTGCGGGGCACAGCTCAGCACCGGCTGGCAGCGGGGTCTGGCCCCGCCACCGCAGGCACCCCAGGCACACAGGAGAGCCCATCTTGCTGGGGGATCGCAGCCCCAGGGGACTCTCCCTGGCCCTGTGCTGTCCCCGTGCCCCACAAGCATCCTGGGCTATTGCCAGCCCCGTTCCCATGGGAAGCCTCTCGCTGTGCCCAGACATTGGGGCAGGAGGGGTGTCACAGTGCCACATCCACAGGGATGACAGCTGGCAGCAGCCTGATGGGCTCTGGGGAGCTGCCAGGAGGGAACATGGGCAGCTCTGGGACCACGGAGCCAGCTCCCACCCTTGTCCAGTGCCACCCCTCCCTGGAAGACAGGAGGGGACTCGTTGCCACCATGGATGTGGCTTCTGTCCCCCTGTTCCTATAGAGCCCTCACCGGTTTGTACTCGGGCAGCCACTCGGGGATGCTGAGGTTGTTGATCTCGGAGGCGATCTTCTTCCTGTGCCCCGGCTTGGTGACCCCGATGGCCGTGAGGTCCTGGGGCAGAGAGGGGGGGTCAGTGCCGCCCTGCTCCGGCCGTGCCTCCCTCCCACCGCGCCCGGCCCCACCTCCGGCGTCATCCGGCTGATGGTGGTGATGTCGTAGCCGGCGTTGATGAAGTTGGGAGCGTAGAGCTGCAGCTGGAACTTGCAGAGCCACTGGTACACGGCCTCCGAGCTCTGGCGAGAGGGGACAGATGGATGGGGGCAGCCCTGGGGATGGGGACCCGCCACTCCTGCCCATGTCCCCCAAGCTGTCCCCACCACACGCTCCCCACGGCACCCAGCGCTCCCCGCTCACCTTCCCCTCTGATGGAGGCTCCATTTTCTTCAGCTGGGGCTCGGCGGGGGGCTGGGGGGCGTAGGGGGAGCTGGCCACGCTCTGCGACCGCGACGAACCTGCCGGAGGGGCGGCGGTCAGCGCGGCCCGGCCCCGGGCTCCGGCCAAGGGAAGGGAGAGCCGAGCCCTGCCCTGGCGGGGTGCCACAGCCACAGCCCCAGGCTGGCAGGGCCAAGGGGGGCACAGGAGAGCACACGGGACACCCAGCCCAGCAGAGCAGCCCGGAGCACCCGCAGTGCCCCGGACAGGGTGCTGCTCCTCGGGGAGAGGCAGGAGAGCTGCTGTACCCAGCACAGCCCCGAGCAGTGGGACCCAGCCAGAGCCGTCCCCCAGAGCCAGTGTCCCTGGAGCCCAGGCAGCAGCCGGGGGGTCCCTCTGCCCAAAACCCTCGGGCCACACTCCTCTGGCCTTGCCACCCGCCAGGCAGGCTCGCAGGAGCGTTCATCCCTTGGGCTCCCCCACGGGCATCCCTTGGTGCCCTCCCTGCAGGGTGAGGGGGGCTGCCCTGAAATTCTTCCCTCGTGTCTGATCAGGATGGACAAGAGAAGCCCCTTCTCCCCCCACCAGCAACTGCATCTTCTGTGTGTGTGTGTGTGTGCGCGTGCATGTGTGTGTGCCTCCTCCCTGTGTGTGCATGTGTGTGTGTGTGTGTGTGTGCATCCCCCGTGTGTGTGTGTGTGTGTGTGTGCGTGTGCATCCTCCCTGTGTGTGCATCCCCCTGTGTGTGCATCCTCCCTGTGTGTGCATCCTCCCTGTGTGTGCATCCCCCGTGTGTGTGTGTGTGTGTGTGCGTGTGCATCTTCCCTGTGTGTGCATCCTTCGGGCATCTGCATCCCTCTCGCGTGGGCATCCTCCTCACATGTGCATCCCTCTGCCGTGTGCATCTCCCTCACGTCTGCATCCCACTTGCGTCTGCATCTCTCCAGCATGTTTCCCCCTCTCCCTAGCAACGTCTGCCCCCCCTCCCCGCGTGCCCACCGCCCTCCCTGGGCGCGCCCCCTCCCCTGAGCGCATCCCCCTGCCCAGCTCTCTCTGCCCGCAGCCCGGGCAGCTCTGGGCATCCCCCCACGCCCACCCCCACGTGTGCCTCTCCCGTCTGTCCCCCCGCTCCCCGCTCCCGTGCCAGTCCCGTGGCGTGGGCACCCCGGTGGCGTGGCCGTGCTCCCGCAGCCCCCCGGACGGCGGTGCCGGGGGTGGGGGGACCCCGCTCGGGCTCCAGCAGGGCTGGCGGGGGCGCCAGGGAAGGGAAGGGGCCGGGGAGCAGCGGTGCCCCCCCTGCCCGCCCCACGCCGCCCCCCGCCCCCCACGGGCCCCCACTAACCGAGGCAGGAGAAGGCCTGGCAGCAGCCGAAAGGCGACAGAGTCATTTTTTACCCACACGTTTTTCTTCTGGCGACGGGTGCCGTGGCAATAAAAAAAAAGACAAATCCCTGGATCCACGGCACGGCCAGGGCTCCTCCTGCTCCGGCAGCCGGGCGGCCGCAGCACGCACCTGCGGGGATGTCCTGCGCCTTGGCCGGCCCATCGCCCACGGCAGACTCTTGCGCAGAAGCCTTCTGGGAAAGGACCGTTGCCAGCAGCTGAAAAACACCCCGGCAAGGGGGGAGAGCAGGCGGCAGTGAGGCGGGCGGAGGGGGCCGGCGGGCCGGGGGTGCGTGTCGCGGGTGTCGCGGGTGTCGCGGGTGTCGCCGGTGTCGCGGGTACCGTGGATGCTGCGGGTGCTGCGGGTGCTGCCAGCTCGGGCGAGGGTGGGCAGGGAGGGTTGCAGCAGATTTCGGCGGCAGCGGGGAGAGCGGGAGCAGCAGATGGTGCTTTGCCGGCAGCAGGAGCCCACGGCACCGCCGCACCCCAAAGCCAGCCTGGCACACGCCCAGCCCAGGCTGCTGGCACGGGCTGGGGTCCCTGTGCCCGCAGGATGGAGCCCCCCTGGCTGGCAGCGTGCTGAGGCTCAGGGGCGCATGGGCACGGCAGGCAGGGTGCCAGGGGATGTGGGCTGGAGGGCGCTGGGGCCGCTGGGCTGGCAGGTGCCATTGCCAGGGAATGGGACATCCCAGGGGCACTGCAGGGCTATTGTGGCAGTGGTGGCAGGGCAGTGTGCAGTGCAGTGTGCGGTGCTGGTGGCAGCAGTGCATGGTGGCAGTGTGCCAGGCTGGTGGAAGCAGTGCATGGTGCTGGTTGCAGTGCATGTTGCTGGTTGCAGTGTGCCATGCCAGTGGCAGCAGTGCATTGGTTGCAGTGTGCCGGGCTGGTGGCAGCAGTGCATGGTGGCAGTGTGCCAGCCAGTGGCAGCAGTGCATGTTGCTGGTTGCAGTGTGCCAGGCTGGTGGCAGCAGTGTGTGCAGGACTGAGCACAGTGCAGAGGCCCCTGCAAGTGGCAGCAGAGACATGGCACAGCAGCCCCGATGGACCTGTGGAATGTTTTGCAGGGGCTGAGCCCAGGCCCAGGCAGCACTCAGGGTGGAGGGGACAGGCTGGTGGCCGCTGTCGGTGACAGCATAGCTGGTGGCACACAGGGTATCGATGAGACTGCACAGCACCCAGTCAAGCACCAGCTGAGGTCAGGGCAGGCAGCAGACGCTGCAGGAGTGCAGCCAGCAGCAGCTGGCACGGCCGCCTCAGGGCTCCCCTTACCTTGATGCCCTCGGAGCCGGCGTGCAGGGCGTGCGCCCCGCTGCCCGCGCTCTGCCCGCTCCCCGAGCTGCGCGCCGAGGCCACGCTGCCCGTGCTGCCCAGGCTGCTGCGGTCACCACCTGCACACAGAGGAGAGGCTGTCAGGGCTCTGTGCCCCGCTCGTAGGGGACACCACGGCACGGCCGTGCCCCAGGGAGCCGCCGTCGCCGCGTCCTGGCACGCGCTCTGCGTCCCACCGGTGCCGTACCTGCGAAGGGTTTCCGCAGCACCCAGATCTCCTCGGCGGGCGCTGCCGTGGCCGATCCGCCCTGCGACGGGGACAGGTGGGACGGGCTCATGTCGGCCCCGCGGGACCCTTGGTGGCAGAGCAGAGAGAGCGGCTGTCAGGCGTGTGGCGCTGCGCTCAGGCTCGCACGGCTGTGGCACGGGGAGGTGACCACGGCCCCGGGACTGGCGCTGCTGCAGGTGGGAACAGCCCCACAGGGAAGGCGTGGGGACCCCGGCTGTGTCCGTGCCCAGGGATGCCAGAGCCATCCTAGGGCCCTGTGCCACCCCAAGCTGGCAGAGGTGACAGTGACCAGCCCTGGGCTCTGCTGTGCAGAGCATCCCTTCCTCACTGCCAGCCAGGGACAGACCATGGTGGGGTGTTCCAGTGCCCTGGCTGAGCCTGGACAAGGGACAGGGACAGTGTCATCCCTTCATAGGACAGGATGGGGACATGACCTGGTGCAGGGAGCAAAGGGAGCTGGGCAAACTCAAGCAGTGGGGACCAGGGTTCCCACCCCACTGTCCCCTGTCCCAGGCAGTGCTGGCCATGTCCCTGCAGCTGCCTGCATCCATCTGTGGGGACCCAGGGGCTGTGCAGGGCCAGGCACCGGGTGTTGAAACCCTGGTGACACACGGGGGACACAGCAGTGGATGAGAGGACCTGGCCCTCCTCTGGGGCACAGCTTGAGGGTCACCCCAGGGCACAGCTCCTCACCAGCTCACTGTGCTGGCCACCTCTGCCAGGTCCCACTTGCACCAGGGACAGCCAGCTCCGAGTGCAGGGGGAAAACAGCATCAGGTGAGATGGACAACAGCCCTACAAGGCCAGTGCTGCCACAGCCCCACCACGGCTCCGCCATTGTCCTGCGAGCCATGGGGCACTGCCACCCCACCACCAGCCATGGGGTGTTGCCACCTCACTGCCAGCCAGGCCAGTTCTGTTCATGGAGCTGCTCACTCCAACAGCACCAACTGTAGCAGGGGGACGGGTGGTATAAGGTGATAAAGTCACTGAAGGAGCACAGCAGGGGACAAACAGCCTCACCAAATCAGGCTGGGGCATCTCTGAGCTGCACATGCCATGGTCGCACCAAGGAGCCTGGGCTTGTGCAGCTCCATGCGACCCCAGCAGGAGAGAAAGCCCCAGGGAAAAGAAGTGTTCCCTTGTCCCCAGTGCCAGCAGGGCCACCCAGTGCCCCAACACAACCTCCTTAGCCACTGCCACTGGGGCATGTGCAAAGACCCCTGGCCCCAGCCATCGAGGACAGAGCCCCTGCAACCCCATGCTCCTGATGCACAGCCCTGCAGCACCTGTCACGTGCCTGTGTCCCAGGGACGGTCCCCAGGGTTCAGCCGGGCTCTGCCTGTGCTGAGCCAGCCCCGAGAGCATCCCCTGGGAAAGCCCCCAGAGCCACAGCCCCTTCCAGCCCCGTGTGCACAGCCAGGACCTGGTCAGAGCTGGGCCCTGCAGGGAGGCTGTGGCCAGCAGAGGGTCCCTGAGCCCGTGGCACAGAGCGGTGGCACTGAGCTGTGGCACTGCGCTGCCTGCCCTGCCTGGCACAGGGCTGCGAGTGCTTTGGGGGTGCCCATGCACCCAGGCAGGAGCACAGGGGACACCGGGGTGGGGAGGGTGGCTGTGCCTTGGGCACTCGCTGTGCCAGCAGCACTGGAGCAGGTGTGGGAGGGAGCGGTGGCAGCGTGTGCCACCCGAGTGCCCCCGCTGCATGCATGCACGCGCATGCACACGCTGCATGCACACACAAACACCCTGCAGGCCCCCGTGAGGGGGAGAGGCCGAGCAGAGAGAGAGGACTCGACACACGCTTTAAAGGAAAAGAAAGGAAAATCCATGGAGAGCACGAAGCGAGCGGTGAACTACCTTGTCCGTAACGCGGCTCGTCGGCACTGCTAGGGGAGAGCCTGTGATAGCCAAAGGAACTGAAAAGAGTCTGATGGGAATGTGGTGGTGGAGGTGGAGGTGGAGGCAGGGAATGGAACGGATGGGACGAGGCGTCACCGTTTAGCACAGCAGCCCCGTAAGCCGGGAGCGGGATCTTTTGGAAGTGTTGGGGGATTGTTACAGTCTCCCATGAACCTGATAATAAAACATAACAAGAGACAAAATGAAAAGAATCAAAATAATAGAGACACGCTCAGTGCCGCCAAAAAAGGAAAAAAAAAAGAAAAAGAAAAAGAAAAGAAAATAAAAGAAAGGGGGGAGAAGGCAGCAAATCAAAAATGCGACCAAAGGGACGTGGAGAAGCCAGAACTGAGACCCAGGCGAGGCGGAGCAGAGCCGAGGAGCAGCAGCGGGAGCTCAGCACAGGCACAGCCCAGCACAGGGCACGGACACATCCCCGGGACAGCCCCAGGGTCAGCTCACGGGCTCTCACAGCCAGGCTGTGGGTCCTGCTCCCTGCAGGGCCATCCCGGGGCAGCGGGGCTGCAGGCAGGGCTGGGCTGGGGCTGCACCCCTGTGTGCGGGGGTGAGCTGTGACACAGTGCCTGCACCCCACACTGCTGCCACCAGGGTGGCTACAGAGCTCCACAGCCTGGCTAGCGCTGCTGTGGGCCAGCTGCAGCCCAGGAGCACAGAGCTCAGCCCGGGAGACATGGGTGGCATCTCTGCTACTGGCATACACCCATACCTGGAGGGTGGCTCTGACCCTGCCTGTCCAGCACCAGGTGCCTCCAGGGGTGCTGTGGGTTGCCTGGCAGCCACTTGTACTGCCGGGCTCCTGAGATACTGTTCAAGTGCCACCATTGCCTGCCCATGTCCCCATGGTGTGGCTGCCCCCAGGATCCAGTCCCGGGGCTGGGGTGAAATGGTTGATGTGGGGCCTTTCAATGCTGCCTGCAGAGGCACCAGCCCCATTGGGGCTCTCCTGGCAGAGGGCACAGCCCAGGGACATCCCAAGGGACTGTCCCCAGGAATCTAAAGGGATGATGATGGGAATGGGGATGGGAACAGGCAGCCACAGGGCAGGGGAGCAGAGGCCGATCCCTGAGATGGCCCCTGGCTGGAAAGACGCTCCCTGTGTGGCAGCATCAGCTCCCTGGCACTGGTGCCCAGCCCCTGCACAGACCCTGAGCACCAGCCCCTGCGACCCCACTGCTGTGCCTGTCCCTCCAAACCACAGTGACACCCCTGGGTCTCCTCATGCACCAACCTCCCAGCACCTCAAACACCTCCCCCAGCCCAAGGGCAGCCAGGGCTGACCCCCAAACACCCCAGGGCTGCCAGCCCCAAGCCCCAAGACACCGACCCCACAGACACCACGGGAACACGGACCCCGCACACTGGATGGGAGCGCCAGCCCCACAGGCACCATGAGGACGCTGACCCCACACGCTTTAGGCACCGTCCCCACGCCCATGGCGGGGACACCGACCCCACATGCATGAGGGGCATCACCCCTGTTTGCCTTCACCGCTGCAGCCCCCACACCCCTGTCCCCACCAAGCCAGGATGGGCTCCCCAGGGCTGGGGGTGCAGGGGGGATTATTTGCCTGTTCGTTTGCTTATGGCCTCGACGAGGCTGGAGGGGAAGTATCCCACGCGGTCGTTGCCGGTGCGGTTGTCGTGGATGCAGCCCTTCCACCGCCCGTCCGCGTGCTGCTCCAGCACCTGCGGGAGGCGCCGGGTCAGGGCCGGGCCGGGGCCGGCACTGCCACCGCGCTGTCCCCGGCCCCCCCGGCCGCACTCACGGTGATGACGTCCCCGGCTTTCACGTTGAGGCTGGTCAGGTCGTAGTTGTTGCAGTAGTCCTTGACGGCCCGGACCTGCAGAGCTGCAGAGGCGTCTGCGGGACGGAACAGGAGCGTCAGCGGCCGCTTGCCCCACGGGGGTTGGCACCCCCAGCCCGGCGTCCCTCGTGCCAGCACGGCCGCTCTGTGCCCTCCAACCCCCTACCCCGCAGCATCTGCTTGATCTCCTTGCTGGCCTGGCTGGTGGTGAACTGGTTGACGATGTCCAGAGCCGTCTGGTTGTAGGTGTTCCTGACGTGGGCGTTGATCCCGCTCTGCAATGGCACCGAGAGGGATTGGGAGGAGGCTGGTCCCCGTCCTGCCACCCCTGGGACTCCCTAGGCCACCAGCAGACCAGCAGCTGGAGGGCACAGCCCTCAGACCTTTGTGTGTACCCCCCTTGTGACCCTCACCCCTCGGTGTGCACCCCCAGGACCCTCGGAGCCTTGGTGCATCCCCTCCAGGACCCTCAGCTCTGATCCCAGGGAGAGCTGCACAGGCTGCTCTGAGCCCCCAGCTGTGGGGTCACCCCCTTCCCACAGCCCCTGGCTGGGTTGGGGGTGCCTGGGGGCATCTGGGGGTGCCGAGGGGGGCCCTTACATCCAGCAGCAGCCGCACCACGTCCGTTTTGCCGCAGAGCGCGGCCTCGTGCAGCGCCGTGCCCGCCTTGGTCTGCCGGTTGATGTCGATGCCAGCCTGCAGCAGGAGCCTGCGGGGGACAGCGGGGTCAGGGGGGCACGGGGGGCGCTGGTGCTGCCCCCCCTGCCCGCGGCACGCACCGGATGATGTCGATGTGGCCGTTCTTGGCGGCGAGGTGCAGGGGGCTGGTGCCGTTGGGGTCGGTGGTGTCCCCCGGTTTGGGCTCCAGCAGCGCCGCGCACATGTTGCTGTTCAGGAGCAGTTGGACCACCTGGCTCAGCAAACACAGACGGAGCAGGGCTGCAAGGGCGGCTCGGCCGCCCCCCAGGGCTGCAGCCCCCAGCCCCTGGCCCCTGGCCCCTGCCTCCCCCTGCCAGCAGCCAGACTCCCCTGTGGTAGTGGCACTAAACACCCCCATGCCGGCCATCCCTGTGCCCTGCCACCTGCCCCAGGACCTCACAGTGCTCCTGTCCCCCCCTGGGATCTCACAGTGCCCCTGTCCCCACCTGGGACCTCAGAGTGCCCCTGTCCCCTCCCAGTCCTCCTCTGGGGACACCCAGCCCTGTGAGAACTTACCCCGACCCGGCCAAACTCGCATGCCAGGTCCAGGGGCGTCTTCCCCGAGTTGTCCATGATGCAGGGGTTGGACTGGTGCTGCAGGAGCATCTCCGACTGGGGACAAGCAAGACCCCGACCCGGTGAGGGCAGGGGTGGAGGGGTGGCACCACCCCCTGCCAGCCCCGTGCCCTCCGTACCACGTCGTAGTGCCCGTGCTGTGCTGCCAGGTGCAGGGGGATCTGGCCCTCGTCCGACGGGATGTTCACAGAGGAGCCTGCCTTCAGCACCATTTTCATGGGCTCCTTCTTGCCCTGCCAGGCCGCGTAGTGCAGGGGCCTCATGCCTGCAGGGGCAAGAAGCCGTGAGCCTTCCATGTGCCAAGGCAGCAGGCAGAGCCTGCGGGGGACACGGGGCAGGGGACCCGGGACTTGCCTTTGTTGTCCTTGATGTCCACGGCAGCCTGTGCCTCCAGCAGCAGCGAGATGAGCTCTGTGTTGCCATTAAGTGCCGCATGGTGCAGAGCCGAGAACCTGGGGACCGGACTGGTGTCAGGGGCCACTGTCCCCTCACGGCCCTGCCAAGCCCTGCCCAGCACCGCGGCCTCCGACCTGCACCTCTGCAGCACCCAGGCCTGCTCTGCCCTCCATGTGCCCATGTCCCTGGGAAAGCCACCCCATATCCCTCTGTGGGCTTTGGGGTGAGAGCTGCTGCAGGCCTAGGAGTGCTGAGACCCCGCCGGGCTGGAGGTGCTGGGCAGGGCAGGCACAGAGGGTGGGGTGCCGGGGAGCCCCCTCCTCAGTGACCCACTTGCCCCAGGCTGGCCCCAGCAGTGCGGCCATGAGCACAGATGGCAGCGCTGCCGTGCCTGGTGCCGGGCCGTGGGGTGGGGAAAGCCCCCGGCCCCGCACCCGCTCTGCTCCGGCAGCTCCCAGAGGCTCCCGCCTGGGAAGCAGACCAGGAGCTGACCTACTTGTGCTCCCGGCAGTGCATCCTCCGTGCGGCTGCGCTGGCACCCACTGTGCCATTGCTCGGGGCCCTGGCCCTGCACAGCGTCCCCATCCCCTCCCCAGGGCCACCCCGGTGTCACCACCAGAGCATGGGAGCCCCCAGGACACGCTGGCCTGTGGCTGCCCGGTGCCCGAGGGGCAGCTGTGGGTGACAATGCCCCTGGCCCTGTTCCCCGGTGCCCATGGAGCTGTGGGTGACAATCCCCCTGGCCCTGTTCCCCAGCCCCAGCCGGGGGACCCATCCCATGGGGAGCAGGCTCCAGGCACGGCGGTGCCCACGGAGCTGTGGCTGCCATCCCCGGCGGGGAGCGGCGATGTGAGCAGACAGCCTGCACAGGAGGCCGATCCCCAACGTCTGCCTGGGAAATGTCAACATTTTCCGCTCCACCGCCCTGCTCAGATCCGCTCAAGATGGTGCAAATCGCAGCCTGCCCCGGGGCTGCCTCGGGGGCTTCCCTCGGGCACCTCATGGCCCAGCCAGCCACCTTGGGCACGAGCCGGGGAGCAGGGCACCAGGGCCAGCACGGGGACACCAGCACGGTGCTCACCCTCACGGGGACACCAGCAGAGCTCACACAGAGCGGAGCACAGCTGGGCTGCAGCCTGGATCCCGGGGGATCCTTTCCAGGAGCAGTGCTGGAGCTTGGAGGCTGCTCCCCTTGAGCTTCAGCACCCTCTGAACCTTCCAGGAGCCGGACACGAGCTGGGCCCTGCCTGCAGCTCCCCAGCCCTGCCACGATGCTCAGCCCTGCTGTGGCCTGCTGGCTCTGCCCAGCCTGAGGTGGCCCTGGGGTGGTGCCCCCTTGCCCCTGGCACAGCGATGAGCTGGCAGGTACCAGGGGATGCCCACTGCCACCACCCTGGTGACGAGGATGAGGAGGCAGCTGGGCTGCTGTGGCCGTACATCCCCAGGGCATGGCCTCCTGTTCTGCTGCTCTCCCTGGCATTGCCCTGGCACAGCAGAGGGAACAAGTGGCATCTCATCGTGCTGCTGCCCTGCTCAAGGGGGATCTCAGGGCGGGGGGAGCCGGGGGCAGTTGCTGCCCAGCCCCACAAGCAGCACTCCCACGGCAGCATCCCCTGTGCAGGGCCCCGCTGCCTCCCCGCAGCCTCATTAGTGTGATTAGCAGGGTGGTCTGCAGCCCCTTTCTGCTGCTCCTGCCCCTTGGATGTGGCTGTGCAGCATCACCCATGCCTGGCAGGGTCACGGCTCTCCCACCCAACTCTCCACAGGGCTGAGCTCCCGAGGAGCCCCCCCAGGGCTGGGAAAAGTGTGGTGAAATGTGGGGCACAGCCCTGCCTCTGCCTCCAGCACCGGCTCTGGGTGCAGGCAGGGCTCAGCCATGTGGGCTAATGGGGCCAGAGCCCTGGGGCTGGCAGCTCGGAGAGCCTGGCATTGGCACACAGGCACTGGGCACTCCCACAGCAGGGGCACCCCCTGCTCACAGCACCCACAGCACCCACACCCAGGCTGGGGCTCCCACTCACCCGTCCGTGTCCTGGAAGTTGACATTGACTCTCTTTGCTGATCCGAGGAGCTCTGGAAGGGAGGGAAGGGGACAGGGTGTTAGAGGAGGTGGCTGGTGCGGGGACACGGGGCACACCAGGGAGGGGACGTGGTGGCAGCTCCAGCTTTCCCTGCCTACCAAGGCTGGGGCTCCCTGCAGCTCCACAGGGGCTGTGTGAGGCTGCCTGAACCTGCAGGAGGAGGCTCAGGGTGGGGGTCCCTGCTGAAGGTGGCGGAGCCCGGGGGCCCCTCCTGGCACCAGCTTCTGCCCATTCTCCCCTCGGGTTCCCCCCTGGCTCCTCCACCTGGCTGAGGCTCTGGAATGGCCCCTGCAGCCCCTGCTGGGCAGAGCTCAGCACGTTCCCCTGTACCCCCAGCCCCCCCTGCACTGCCCTCCCCACCCTTCTGGGAAATTAAACCGCGCCGGGGCAATCCAATTAGCAGCACGAGGAAGGATGGAGCCAGATTTACATAAGATTTACCCGAAAAACGCCACTCAGGCTTTCCAGTGAGCTGCTCTTCCCACAGCGGGAGCAGGAGAAGGAAGAGGAGGGCGGGAGCAGCACGGCAGAGCCCCACAGGGGACCCACACAGCAGCCCCTGAGCCCAACACAGTGAGCACAGCTCCAGCCCTGAGTCCATGGGAGAGGACCCAAAGGCTGCATGGCCTGGCAGGGAGAATGGGCAAAGGCACTCGAAGCCAGGGACAAGCTCTTGTTGGGAGAAGTTGGCTGGAAGGGGCTGCTTCAGGCAGGGAAAGGGAATGTGGGGCCAGAGAGACACTCCCTGTGCGCCTTGGCCGTGGCCTTGCTCTCTCCCCCTCTACGGTGTCCCCTTGTCAGTGTCCCTGTGTTTATTGAATGATTGGACACAAGGCTGTGCCACAGCCCAGGAGCCTCTGCATGGACAAACAGGGCTCAGAGGGCACCAGCAGCAGGAGGGGTGGCTGTGTCCGTCCCCAACCCTCAAACCTGGGCAGTGGTGCCGGGCTCAGCCAGCCCTGCCCAGGCCATGCAGCACAGACGGGCCCAGGAGTGGCCAGGACAGAGGCTCTGTCTCATGGCTGCCCCCTGCACTCCAGGGCTGCCCAGGTGTCCGAGCTGCAGGACATTTGCTAATGCTGACACAGCCCAGTGTGACAGGTGACAGCTGCAGAGGACAGGTTCCACGAGCCACAGCAACCACCCTCCAGCCACCAGGTGCCCAGGCTCTCCTCCCAGCTGAGGTGCCTCATGTGGGATGAGAAGGAGCACTGCAGGCTGCCTGGAGAGGGACAGGGACACCTTGGGGTCGCCAGGGTGTGGGCAGGGACAGGAATGGCACGGAAGCCCCCAGATCCCATCCCTGCCGTAGCATCCCCGTGCTGCTCCCCTGGGAAGAGCTGCCCATGAGTGGTGGGCAGAGCCCCTGTGACACCGGGAGTGACCCAGTCCCCGCAGCCCCGCGCTGCCGCCAGCGTCCCCAACAAAGGCGCATTCAGCCCCGTGGAGAGGAGCCCAGCGCCGCTTCCGCTGCTCCCCGCGCCAGGAGCCAGCTCCCAGGAGAGGGGCCGAGCTGCCCCCAGGGATGCCAGGGCCAGCGGACAAAAGGAGCCGTGGGCGCAGGAGCGGCACCGTGCCCGGCGCTGGCTCCAGCCTGCGGCCCCGAGACGGGCCCCGAGACGGGCGATGGGGCCTTGCGGACGGACGGACAGACAGAAGGACGGATGGACGGATGGATGCTGTCAGCAGGTCTGCAGGGCCTGGCCTTTCCCACGGGTTGATCCCAGCCAGGGGCTGGCACGGGGCAGTGCCCGGGCATCAGGGTGCAGTGGTGATGGCGATCCCCAGGCACGTGCCACCCTCGGCATCACCAAACCACCATGGCCCCAGCGCAGCGTAGCGGCAAATCTTTCCTCCCTGCACCTGCAGGAGAGGCTGCGGCTGCCAAAATCTGTTTAGCACTTCCATCACTGCCCGTGCCAAGTGCTTAGTCAGTGACTTCCAGCCATGCAGTGGTTTGACTTTCCTTAAAGCTCTGGAAGTGGCCGTCAGCGTGCCGAAGGCAGCTGGAGCACGGAGCCCAGCTGGGGTCTCAGAAAAACCCCAGTTCCCAGAGCAGGAGGGAAGGATGGCTGCCCTGGTCACCACGTCCACAGTGAGATTTGCAGCCAGTCTGGGGGCAACAAGAGCCGGGAGAGCTCATTAATGGCTGGGAATTAATGACAAGGAACATTCTTCCGCTAACAAGGCAGAGAGAAGGGAGCTGAGTGCTTCCAATTAAAATATCAGCTACAAAAGGAGATGGGCACAGTGGGGAGGAGAGCAGAGCTCCTTCATGGCCACACTGCCAGTGAGCACCCAGTGTGTCCCTGGCTGTCCTCTCTGCTGGGATCACTGGAGGGTGGCAGGGACCACTGAGCCCCTGCAGTCACCATCCTGCCCTCTCCATGCAGGTGCCATCAGGAAGGTGCTTTTGCAGGGGTGGCACATCTTTGCTCAGACAGCCTGAGCCCCACCACCATCCTTGGGACACCCCAGTGTCCCCTCTTGGCTCCCCATGGGCTGCTCAGGTGATGGTTGTGCCGTGTGGGGTCACAGGGCTCCCCTGGTGTCTCATGGCCCAGCTCTCCACCGTTCTCAGAGCTGTTTGCGCCCCACAAACACCCTGGGGCAGGACCACGATGCCAGCCCCAGGGAAGGGGGGCACACACAGGCCCTGGCACCGCGGGGTGCAGCTCAGTGTGCAGCGGGAGCCGCAGCGTCTGCCATCGACACCAGCTATAAACAGCGCCTGCCGGAGTAAACAGCGCGGCGGGAGCGGCCTGCCCTGCTCCCAGGAACGCCTTCACTCAAACACAGGCACTGCAAGAGCGAAATCACGCTCGGGTTGAGCCCGGCACTCCGCGTGCAGCCCCGGCCCCGGCGGGCACCACGGTGCAGGCGACGCACGGGCAGCTGGCACGTGCAGGGCCTGTGCATGGGAACCCGCTCTGCCCCACCCCAGGGTCACCGGGGCTCCTGCCGCTGTGCCTGGCAGCTGCTTTGGGCACCCTGGAGCACGCCAGGAGGAGGCCCCCGTGCCCAACCACAGCTCTGGGCACTGCAATGCACGGCCATGAGGAGGCCCCCGTGCCCAACCACAGCTCTGGGCACTGCAATGCACGGCCATGAGGAGACCCCCGTGCCCAACCACAGCTCTGGGCACTGCGATGCACGGCCATGAGGAGGCCCCATGCCCAAGCAGCAATCCCAGTACATGCCCCAGGAAGATCACAGTGCCCAGTCCCTGCTGCAGGTATCCCAGAACACGCTGTATGGAGACACCTGTGCCCAGGTGGCCGGTGTATGCCATGGTGGGACCCCAGTGGCCAAGCGCAGCTCTGGGCGCCCCAGTGCAGGTTGCAGTGAACCCCCTGTGCCCAGCTGCTCCATCCCCTCCCTGCACACGTGTCCAAGGCCGCGGCCCCACATGGAGGGACTCCTCAGGGGGCTCCTCACCCTTCCCAGCACCGCCTCACGTGCTCCTGCGCCAGCCTCTGCGGCCAGCGCAGCGCCAGCAGCGATCGATGCCCGGCCGGAGCGTGGGGGCTCCCGGCCAAGCCCCCGCTGACGAAGCACATCCTCACCCAGCTCCCCCCGGCAGGCAGCAGGCGGCTGCTCCAAGCAGATGGCTCCAGCCTCCACTAAATCAACATCTACTTAATGAGGGGAAAGCATTGCTGCCCCCTCCCCAGCATGGCGGCAGCCGATCAGCCAGGAGAACCCCCCAAATCCTCCTCTCCATCCCTTCCCTCAGCCCTCTGCAGTGACCCCACTCCCCCCCAGCCCCATCCCTGCTGCTTCCCCACTCCCCAGCTCATGTGGGCAGCCAGACCCCCGTGTGTGCCCCCACAAACACAACAGGACCCCACAAGGTGCCAATATCCACAGGGAAGACATTCAAGGCAAGCGCCTGTTTCAGAGACAGGGGGAGGATCCTGCAGCGGCATCGCTGGGAGCTGCCGGATAAAGGAAGCATCCAAAATAGCTGCTCTTAATTATATCCCTGCTAACGAGCGCCACGCAAACAACGGGCACTGCACGAGGAGCCCTGCCATGGGGGTCTCTTATTCCTCACTGCGAGGATGGGGTCCCCACGGTGGCCTGTGCCACGGGGGGGACCCCACTGAGGCAGCCACAGCAGCCCTGGCTGGGGCTGGTGCTGACGGTGACGCCGGGGAGCCGGTCCTGACAGGGAAAAGCTTGTACTCCTGCAGCCAAGGTCGTGTCAGGCGCTGGGGCCGGCCATGCTCAGATGCTAATGAAGCCGTTATCATCTTCCGATCGATCGGGACTGTATAAATAATGCACCGGGAAGCTCGTTGTGCAGGGAAAGGGATTGCCTGGGGCCAAGGGGTGGCTGGGATGGGATGGAGCCATTGCAGGGCAGGACTTGGCACAGCTGGATCACTGCTGCCCACCACAGCTGGACAGACCTCTCTCACCACAGCTGGACACCCCAGTGTCCATCACAGCTGGACAGACATCTCTCACCACAGCTGGATATCCACTGCCCATCACAGCTGGATGTTCACTGCCCACCACAGCTGGACATGCACCTGTCAGTGCAGCTGGACCTCTCAGTGTCCACCACAGCTGGATAACAACTGCCCATCACAGCTGGACACCCCAGTGTCCACCACAGCTGGATAACAACTGCCCATCACAGCCGCACACCCACAGCTGTGTGCCCCGCTGCCCGTCCCCAGCCATTCCCCAAATCCCAAGGCACTTTTGGGGGATGCTGCCCGTGTGCCCAGCACAGGTACAGGTGCTCCGGATGCCCGTCCCTGGCAGACCCTTCTCCAGGAAGGGGTGAAATCCGCACTGGAGGCTGGCTGGGCTCTGGCAGCCTGAGTCACCGCACAGCGCTGTCCCCTGGGGCTGCAGGAAGCAGCTTAAATGCAGCTTTCAAGAGGCAGCAGGGACTCCACTGTGATGCTTTTATTTTTACAAAAAGGAAACTTTTCAGTCCCTTGGGATGGCGCGGGGCTGAGCCTGTGGGCTGCCAGG